CCACATTTATTCTTTCAGCACTTTCCATTTCTACCTGACCTTGTCTGAGAACACAAGCAACCCTGCTTCTACCTTGGTATATATCCTGCGGAGAGGCGTCTCACTGAGGCTGGGAGGGCTGAAGATTGTGGCCCAGTTCATCGGGGGCTTTCTAGCCAGAATTTATCGGAGTTACCTCTGGCTAGCAGGGGTCAGCAGTTTGTTAGCTGATCCCTACACCTGCAGCAAGCCTCTCCAGACGTATTTACTGAAGGCCTTTTTCACAGAACTTATCACCTCCATCACGTTCCAGTTTACCCTGCTTCAGTCGCAATTCCAAGAGCCGCGAGTCAGAGCCAACATGCTTTCGCTCACCATCACTTCGCTGGTGTATGCAGGTTTGTTGGCATCTTTCTCTCTCTCTGACAGTAACGGTCAAAAAGATTATATACAGAGCACAAACTTGGCAGCAAGGGATGCTCCCACTGGGGGGGGAAATATTCTTGAAATAAGGTGACAAAATGATGACCTGTGGCTGCATATGGTGGGAAGTGCTATTCCTAACCCCTTTTCTCTAGCCCTTGTTTCCTGCTTCTTTCCCAAATTCCTTTCCCGAATTCCACACAATCACTCTGTTGTGCGGGATGTCACCACAGACACTCCATGGTGTGGCTGTTGCTCGTTTCAATATGCCTGCACTGATTCTCGATTCTTTGCTGTCAAGCTTGGTATTCAGGCATGCAATGAGGGTGAGGAAGCCTGCTGATTTCACAGTGGTGCAGATGTCCCCTTATAAAGCAAGTAAAAGGAGATGTTCCTAGGAAAAATGGGTGCTTGAGGGCTTTCTCCTAGTGAACCTTCCCAGATTCCCTGAGCACAAATCTATTACCTTCTCCCTTGCAGCTTTAAGAACACATTATGCACCTGCACCAGCAAAGTGGCTCAAGAGGCAAAGGCAGGGAAATAGACTTTTAAGGTTATGGAAGATGTGTCTAAAAGATGTGGGAGGTAACACAGAAGTGAGGTAACGTCCCATATACAAGAAATGTATTGGCATGTTAGCATGAGCATCCCAATACCACTATGTGATTTTGCAAACCTGATTTTGTGGTTTAATACCACACTTGACTCAAAGGGTTACGCAACTCCGTAGTTTTGCACACTCAATGGTAAATAAAAGCTGCATGATCCTTGAACCACAAACTACCTAAAGGAGCGCTTACATCCATATGTGCCCGCCCGCCCCTTGAGATCTGTGGGAGAGGCCCTTCTCTGGGAACCCTCCGTGAAAGAAATTAGGAGGGTAGGTACTTGGAGGAGGGCTTTCTCTGCGGTGGCACCCAATCTATGGAATGTGCTCCCCAGAGAGGTCCGCCTGGCGCCATCGTCATTTGTTTTTCGACGCCAGGCAAAGACCTTTTTATTTAAACGCCATTTTAATTGTTAATATTATTTATTTATTTTATTTTTATGGCCAGGACGTCTCCAATTATATTGTTTTATATTGTTATTATTTATTTATTGTTGTAAGCCGCCCCAAGGCTTCGGCGAATGGGGCGGCATAGAAGCTTTCTAAAGAAATAACTCCTTGACCACAAATAAAGCATGAACAATACATACATATTCCTAAAAGTAAACACAATGAACTGTAGGCCAAAGATTGAGCAAGAAATCTGCCTCTGTGGCTTACATTTGTTAAAAGCCTTCCTGGATTAGACCAAAAGTATCTGTAATCCAATATCATATTTACACAGTGACTGACTCCTAAAAAGCAAGTATTCACACAGTGGCCAACCAGATACCTGAAGGAATTTAATTCTGTAAGAACATGGAGATACGAGCTGCCTCCCCATGTTGTCCTCCAGCCCTGGTGTACATAGGCCTGTGCTACTGATCCTAGATGTAGCATAAAGTACAGGAGAATAATTAAATTCACTGAGAGTAAAGCAATTAATTGAAAACCGTCAGAGCATCAGAGGTACCATGCCTACAGATACCAGTCCTGGGGAAGAACAAGAAGAGTGCAAATACTCTCTTGTTCTAGTGGGACTAAATTCCTTTGGGTTTCTGGTCAGCTACTGTGTGAATACATTTTATTTTTTTGACTGTGCATTTCAAAAATCAAAACAAAACCGGAAATAAGAGTTTTCTATCATGAAATTTGAGTAAATCTATTGCAAAGAATAGCCATATACCATATATCCCAATATATTTTATGTATAGCAAAATATAGCAGCCCAGAAATCTATGAATTTATTCATTCATGAGGCCACCCAGTCACTGTGCATATGACATTAGACTAGATAAGCCTTTAGTCTTATCCAGCAAGGCTCTTAATGTCCTACCTGTGCGATTCCCATAGCTCAGTGGAAAGGCACATAGAAACAGAGCGAGTCAGAAGGGGCCTCCTGGGCCATCTAGTCTGACCCCGGCTCCAGCCGGCTCCGCTCATGACATGCCCACCATGTGCACCTCCAGCCTATCCTTGAACACCCGCACCGATGGGGCCTCAACCACCTCCCGTGGAAGCCCATTCCACACCCTCGGGGTCCTGACTGTCAGGAAGTGCTTCCTGGCATCCAAATGGAGCCTTGGTTCCCTGAGCTTGGCTCTGTTGGAGCGTGTCCTGCCCTCCTCTGCAGGGGAGAACAGGCCTCTACCCACCCCATGTGACTTCCCCTCACATACCTGCATGTTGGTATACTTTCTATGCAGAAGGACCCAGGTTCAGTCCCCAGCATTTGGCAGGACAGGAAAGGAATCCAGAGAGCTGCTGCCCATCTGTGTTGACAAAGCTAGGTAGATGGGCCACAGTCTGACACAGTAACAGGATTTGCATGATCATGGAGGGAAAATGAGGTATGGGGGATTATTTTCCCTACTCCTGCATGTTGCTCACAAGCTGCCTAAATAGGCATAATTACTCTTGCCTGGCCTGGGCTGAGGGTGACCTGCAACAGCAGGGGTTGGACCCAATGGCCTTCTTGGTCCCTTCCATTTCTACTATTCTATGATGTCTGAACCTGGTGAGGATGGATGTTGGAGTGGTTTACATACTGGAGAATCATGGTTTGTTCTACATTTTCCAGCCTGGTATCTCTTTTTTGGGCTATGGCAACTGATACTTCCCATGTTATTTTCAAACTGTTTCCTAGCATGGTTTCCTAAGCATGGAACAAATACAGTCCCTCTTAATAATCCAATATGCTGCCTTGTAAAGGTTTTTGGTTCTAGCTGTTCTAGTTTAAACATAGCCTGCACATTTGTATTATTATTATTATTATTATTATTATTATTATTATTATTATTACCAAGAGACCAATTTACATAACTGATATTCTGCATATGTGCCTACTTCTATCCTTTAACAGGTATTCACTCATGATACAGTTTACCCTGCATAAATGCCTGCCTTGGGACAGTATCTTTTCCCCACCACTGCAATTATATGAAATGTTTGTAGGCCTATCCATGATTTAAAGTCCACTTGGTGCACACAAAGGTACCCAGAAAAAATATATGTGGCAGGGGAAAAAATAATGAAACTATAAAGCCCCAGTAATTTAATTTAAAGGGGAAATTCTGAAAGGGTGAAATGAGTGACTCTCGAAAGGCAATGCATCTGCTTACCTTAAATAACTTAAAAGGCATCTGTTGTTTTAAACAGTTATTGTGTGTATTGCACTAGAGAAATGACAGAACTGAAGTCCGTATCTATTAAGGACAGGGACCACAGTGTTAAGCCTACTTACTTGGTAGTAAGCCTCAATAAGGCTTAGTTCGGGAGTAGACCTGTAATGAAATAGCACCGAAAAAATACAATGTGCAGCATAAATCTGAGGTCATCGCCCACCTTTTATTTTATCGCATACAATACTTGCAAAACGGGGTGGACAATAAAGTCCCAAGAAAAACTAGAGTTCTCTAGCACCATAAAACTGTTGCTCTGCCGCAACAAACAGATTCAAATTGGCTATTCTTCCAAAAAGGGAAGGCGAGGGATTCCCTAATTTTGCTTCCCGAACTCAGCCTCCTGCTGGGTCCTCTCTGGCGCGCGTTGCGGTGCGCGAAGGTGCGAGGCGGGCTTCGGCAGGTCCTGCCGGCGGCGCGTGGGCTGCGAGCCCGAGGAACGCGGGGCCGCCCGCCTCCTCTTCGCACGGCAGCCGGTGGGAAGCACGGCCGGGCGCGGCGGCCACGAGTGCGGACGGACCCCTGCGCCGCCGCCGCCGCCCCTCCCCCGCCCCCTCCCCCGCGGCGGGACCCGCCCCCCTCCGACTGGGGCGGGCGAGCCCTTGCCCCGCCCCGCCCCGGGCCCTTGCCCCGCCCCGCCGCGGAGGAGCCGGGCCGGCCGGCTTGCAGATCCGTTCTGGGGTCGGCGGCGGCGGCGGCGGCGGCGGCGGGAGGCCCCCGCTCCTGGCGCTGGCCGCAGGCTGGGAGGCGAGAGCCTTGGCAAAGCTGGACGGAGCGTCCGCAGCCCTGCGGCGGGCCCGCGGCAAGACCTCGGGGTGCCCCTGGCCGGCCGCAGCGGCTCGGCGAAAGAGGACGGATGGGGGCGAATGGGGGCGGGAGCCCTGGGATCCTCCGAACGGCTCCTTGGGGAAGGGGCTGCTAGTTCCAGGGGGCCAGCCCCCCCCCTCCGCTTCAGGGCTCCGGTGAGGGGGCCCCTGGAAGGAGGAAAGGCAGCCGGAATTCTCCGGCGAGGGAAAATGAAGCGGAACCCCGCGCAAGCGTGTCCCGGTGGTTGCGGAGCGCGGCCGGTGAGATCACAATGGCCGGGAGGCTCGCCGCGGCAGCGGCAGGAGCGGACAAGCGCGCAGGCCGTGGCAAACTCTTCCCAGGGCTGCGGAGCCGGGCAGGGTGCGAGCAGCGGCACCCACTGACCGTGGATTAAACCGAGCGGCCGAAGGGCAACGGAGATCCCCGAGGGGAGGGCAGGGGAGGGGCTGAGAAGCCTCGAGCACTTAAAAAGGGAGCCGAGGACGGCCCCTGCGGAGGTGGGGCAGCCCCGGGAGCGGCGGCGGCGGCGGCGCTGCCTTGGGCCCCTCTGCCGGACCTCCAGCGCCGGGTGCCATGGGGGCCAGCGACGCTTCCATCTCGCTGCTCGTGATGGCAGGCACGGTGACGCTGACCGCTGGCTGCAGGCGAGCGGCCCGCCGCGCCAGTAAGCCCCGCTTGCGGGACTTCCTCCTGGAGCTGCTCGGCGCCTTCCAGATCTGCGCTTGCACGCACGAGCTTCGCCTGCTGGCCGATCTTCCACCCCAGCCGCACGCGGCCCTTACGCTCACGTACATCTTCACAGCAGTTCATGGCTTGACTTTGTACGACAGCATCAACAACCCTTGCAGCAGCTTTCAGCTATTCTGCAAAGCCAAAATCTCGGTCAAGTCCTGGTGGCTGCAGACTTCCGGGCAGTTCGCTGGAGCAGTACTGGCCATCATCTACATCAGGTTGTTCTGGATGTTGGGGATCGTGCCCGTGCACGCACGGGCGCTGGCGGAGAACTGCAGCAACCCCATCCAAACCACCGTAGCAAATGCTTTCCTCCTAGAACTCCTGTTCTCCTCCCTGGTCCATCTGAGCTTTCTGCAGTTTGAATCAATGAATCCTAAGCTAAAAGCCAATCTCGTCGCTTTGCTGATCACCACATTAGTATACGAAGGTTTGTTTCCCATTCCCTTTCTTTATTATTGTTCGAGGATGTCCACCACTTTGAACGGAGTAAGTTACTCTCTTGGTTTTATACTGTTTATCTACACTGGACTTTAGTACAGCTAACAGTGTGTTGGGCAGAACCCGCAAGGCTCTTGGGCCTTGTATCTCGGCTATAATTCTGCCCAGTGGTTTTCAAACGTTCTGCCTTCGGGGAATATTTCCTCTATTGAACTGTTGGCCAAAGGACCTCACAATCCCAGGCATTTTGCACCAGCGTTTAGCAGAGGAAGCGTATAAGTAGTAAATACTGCTTGCTTTTCATTTATTGTTGTCATGTTACTTCCATGTCTGATGGTTTCCGTTCCAGCTGGTGGGGAAAGAACAGGGCTTCAGCCATGGGCTGAGGCTTTCACATTAAAAGTTACTAAGGAAGGAGGGTCTTTTCTGCTCAGAGTTGTCCTTTGGCTTTTCTTACATCCCACTGTGGTTATTTCTCCATAGATGAAGGGCAGTGTGCATGCATAGGCTCTGCGACAGCCTGCTTCAGATATAAAGGGGGGGGGGGTCTGCTGCACTCCTGTAGCTTCAAGCAAGTAGAAACCACCTGTGGCTTGCTTTTAGGTGTTGAGAGAGCAGCACAGACAGAATGCACTCTTATAAGTAAGCTGTTATTACAGGCATTCCAGAAAACTGCACTCATTCATTCAAAGCCTTCCTATCCCGCTCTTCAGTGAGAAGTGGCTCAGAGTAAGATACATCTGTCAGCACTCAGCCCCTGCCCATCAGTTCAGTCTAAATTCAGACGTGGCCCTGATTTTGCAGCTTCTGTGTTCCTTTGATACTAGCTGTGTAGCTAAATTGATTAGAACTTCCTTTGAAATTTGCTTCTCACTTTTTAGATCAAAATACAGTGGTACCTTGGCGCATGAACTTAATCCGTTCCATGACTCTGGTTGTGACCCAAATTGGTTGTTACCCAAGTCAGATTTCCCCATAAGGTTCAATGTAAATAAGGTTAATCCGTTCTGTAACTATTTTTTTTTAATCAGAAATTTTGAAACAAAATGACAAAGAACAACAAAGTACTGCATAGTACAGTGGAGAACACTAACCTAGTGGGAGGGGGGAGATTATTTTGAGGGAGAGTCCCCCTCCATAAGGACATTGGGGAGATCACTTGCAGGGGTTTCCTCTCTTTGTCTCTTAGCTGCAGGGTCAATTTTGGTGAAAAATCTGTCTACAGTCACTTGTTTCTTCCTGCAGGGCATACCCCTCTGGAAATGAGAGACCACGTTATTGTTCATCAGATTCAACACTGTTTGTTACATTTATGTTGGGGTGGTACTTCTCAAAGAAACCCTGGCATGGGCGCGCTCCTGCAGGAAAGACGGGCGCAATCTCGGCCATCTCGCCCCCCCAGCACGATCGTGGCCACCTCCCCCCCACCCACGAGTGGGGAGATGGCCCAGATCGCAGTTGCGCCCGTGCAGGGAAGACGTGTGTGGTCGCAGGCGCGCTCCTGCAGGAAAGACGGGCGCAGCGCAGCCGTGATCACGCATGTGTTCCCTGCACGAACACGACTGTGATCATAGCCATCTCCCCACTTGGGCAACGGGGGGGGGGGGGGGATGGCTGCGATCTTGGTCGCCACCCAAAGCAGAGTTCGTGACCCAAGTCAAAATTTTCATGAATTTTTTTATCGCGACCCAAGGCGTTCGTGAGCCAAGGTACCACTGTATCCATTTCTGTAGACGGGACCATGACATAAACTATTCACATCAGGTGTGGATCCTTACTTGCTAACCGTACTGTCAAAAGCACAGGTCAGTCTCTAAGTATGTTGAACTATTGGCCCAAAGGACTTAACTGTGACATATTAACATTGCCAGCATAAAAGAGAAAGGGTTTGTTTTTTCAATGAAGCTATCTACAACATGTTTTAATATTGTTGTATCTGTATTTGTGTGTATGTCGTTCCTTGCCCTCACTAGCAGATGTGGCCAAAAAGGATCCCCCTTCCAGCTGAACACAATCAAAATATTGGCAAAGGAAAAGCAACTTGGAACACTTCTTGCAGTGCAATCTCAAGTAGCAAGAGAAAAATCAATGCTGCACAAACTTGCTCCAGGAGAGGATATTCTTAAATGTCAAAATTTAAGCTGCTCTTTGTAGCAAACAAAGCTTAGGATAGTCAAGCAGCTGGAAATTCTACACACCAAATAAGGGCAGCAATAAACATTAGTGAATTGCAGAGATGGAAAGAAGTGTTCCAAAACAACTCAAGAATTTCATGAGGACTAATCTTTACTGCCTTTGCCTTAATAAAACAGAAGATGGTATTCAGTGGTATGTTTGAGCAGACAGTTAAATAGTTTCTCCCCAGAATTGAAACATTTGTATGTTTGCATATTTTAAATGAAATTAAAGACATGCAGCATCTCTGTGTCTTTAAGAGTGTTGAGGCTCCAAAATTAAGCCCATGCTCAGTCTTACCACTTGCAGGAGTGAGTTCACGGTGTGGGCCTTTAGTTTAGACTTTCTGTCTGGTATTTGGTGGCTAGTATAGCAATTGCATAGCAGTCCTTGTTGTTTATGTGCCATCAAGTCACCTCCAGCTTATGGCAATTCTGTGAATGAAAGCCATTCAAAATGTCCTATCCGTGACAGCCTGCTCAGCTCCTGTTATAGCCGTCTACTATTCATAATTACATTTGGTCATTAGTTTGGTAGAACAGTCAGTCCAATTAAGGCAAGGAGAAACTCCTTCCCCATTAGCAAGCACATTTGTTCATTTCACTGCTGTTGACTTCTTGGAACTCTTAGTGTGTCATTAATCGGCCATTTAAATTTCATGCTCTATTTCTGCTTTGAGTCCGGTTGAGATATTTGAAAACTGCAACTTGGACTAAAAGCACCAAATAAACTGAAATGATTGTTGTTCAGTCAAGTATGGGAAGTTACCAAAATATGGGAGAGTTGATAATATAGGAAGTCTGGAGGCTTTTGCAGAAGGCAGAAAACATACATAACTATGAAAATCAGATTAATTAAAGCCCTTTTGGAGAACAGGGGTGTTTTTCCTGGTGTAAAGTGACCGCCGTCTCAAAAAATCAATTCAGCTAAGATTGGATATTAGTGGTTCATAGCATGGGCTCTCCCACACTAGAAACATTAAAAAAGAAACTGGCAGCCATCTGAATGGGATGGTTTAAACTGGTGTCCTGCAACAGCAGGGAGTTGGACTTGATGGCCTTCATGGCCGCTTTCAACTCTACTATTCTATGATTCTATGATTAATAACAATTTTCTGAGCTTTAAAATATTTTAAAAAGCCGACATTTATGCAGATAGTCAGGCTGTAGCTGAGAGAGTGTTTGTTTCCCAAATGGGTACCCTGCAAAGTAGCCCAGTGGCATGTCCATTATTACCCACTGCCTATTTTTTTGTGGGGGGGACAGCTAGAGCAGCATTTGACAACGTTGCAGTCTAGTCCAGTGTTGTTATCCAATCTTCTGGTGAGTTGGTTGTTTCAGGGAACTGCATTGTGGCTGTGAAAATGTTGGTAGCAGTCGTACTATTTATTAAGGTCTAGCAGGAGTTGTTGTGATGTGTATCTGTTGCTTTAGGAAAATGCTTGTGGTTTAATCGTTCCAAGAAAGCGGGGGGAGGGCTCTCCCTTAGAACTGAAAATGGCCTCATGCAGCTCCTCAGAGGTATGAGCAGTTAGTACACTAAGCTTTGAAATATTCCCAAACAGGCATGGGCGAAATTCTTGCTCTCCTGGTAGAACTCTCGGCAATTTGCAGAACAATAAGGATTGGAAGGACTCAGTTCTTCTGGCATTCAAACAAGGTCATGGTTTCAGAAGTCACTGTCTATCTCTTCTGCATCAGTTGGTGGATTTTGGGGTTCTAGTGAAAGAAAAAAGTAGATTCTGCAAGAAAAATCATTCCTGGAAGAAACAAAATCCAAAAATTTGACGAGGCATCCTGACCACAAAGCCTGCAGTTTGGCCAGACTATTACCATACTGGGGATTTGTAGTCTGAATAAATTAGTCAGTGATAGGTGTTGCAGATGGAGAGGGATGGAGGGAATCTCCATTTTTGAGAAAGCAAATGCTAATCTCATCTTCCTCTTGCCTTTGGTCAAACACACAGACTACCGAGGTGGTGTGGAGGAGAAGCGCAGAAAAACATGGCAGTCCTCATATTAACAAAGAGATTAATTTTAGACACTGCTCTGGGTAATGAGTCGAAGTTATATTTACACAGTGACTGGAGGGGATGGGAACATCTGTGCAGGGTCTTTCTTCAGGTTATAGAAAATCTTCCTCTTGGTTCATCCCTACCACTGACATTCAGACTGCCTAGCTCCATTTTGAGATTGGGTCCATCTAAACTTACAAGTTTGGAAATGTATGGAGAGCAGTATAGGACAGGCCTCTCAGCTATGGATTTTGGATTTTTTCCCCTCACAAGATAGCCCAGTTGCTTTACTGTAATTAAAATATGCAACCATACACAGTACTCATTTTCAGGAAACATTCTAGAAAGCATTCTTGTGGTTCAAAGTTGCAGCCATATAAATGTTGTATTATGTTGATGTAAAAAAGGTTGATCCCAATGTGAAATGTATGCTCGGCTCCTTGCAGGAAACTAAACCCTGATTAAGCATGCTTATTTCTCCCCCTACTAGCAAAGACATTCTCAACAGCTCAAGTATTCGTTAATACTTCTAAGATGAAGGAAATATTTCTAGGGCAACTCATGTGAAGTCCTCTTAAAAGAATAATAATGCCATAAATGGCCCATCTGACAGTCTGGAGACAGTTTGGGCATGTTTTCTTCCCTCTTGTTCTTAGTTATGGAAGGTTGCTCAGTGCAAAAAGTTGCCCTTGTTGCCTCTTCTGTGAGGGTCAACTAGAATATTCTTCTGCATCAGTGCTGTTAAACTCCCAGGATTTTGTGCCACTCTTTATGCTTCCAAATGTCATGGAACACAACTAGACAACAAAGCATGTGCAGAAACAAAGAAAATGCATAGGTGTGCTATAGCAGTGTGTACTAAGTGCACAAATTAGTTGTACACAACTGTGCAGCTTTTCTCCTCACGTCCTAAAAAATCTTTTCTCCTGCACATCCTGCGGACGCTCTGTGCCATCCCCTCATTCTCAAAGAGGTACTCCTCAAAGAGTACTCCTCAAAGAGTACCATGTCCTACATGGTACTCTTTGTCCCGTTGTGCTTTCTCAACTTCTATCCTTGCACAGCGTCTTATCTCAAGTTAAATGCTTCTCATCTTGGAACAGAGATTAAGTTAACTGGCTTGTGATTTCCAGAATCCCCTCCATGCTTTTAAAAATTGCTGCTGTAATTGGCCATTCTCCAGTGCTTTGGTACAACGGCTGATCTTGGAGATGCTGCCTATTCTTGTTAGAAGATCAGTGTTTTCATATTTGCATTCTTATAGTAGACTGGGATGGATACCATCTGGGCCCAGTAAAGTTTTTAATAACTTGTTAGCAAGGTTCAGAATGTCATCCATTGTCACCACTATTTGCCTAAATTCCCCAGACTTCCTTCCTGAAAACATCAGTCCAGGTCTCTGCTCTGTATCTTCTGCAGTGAAGACAGATAAGAGTTCCTTATTGTTGGCCTTGTTGTTAGCATGATGTTCCTTATGCACCTTTTTTGCTGGCTGCATCTCTCCTGTGCTCTCCTCACTGAAGCAGGCTTCCATTTTCTGACAGAAGCCTTCTTATCTTTCCCTTGACTTTGGTCATCAACTGTACTGGGGATGTCTAGGATTTGGTGTTCTTTTCTAACCTGTGCTATACATTCTATCTGAGTGGTTTTGCCTAACCTCCAGACCCTTTCAAGGAGTTTCACCTCACTTTCAACTTCCTTTTGTCCCTATTTTAAAGAGATTTTGAAGCAAATGTGACTTTTGGACTACTTTGGCAATTCTCCCCTTTAAAAGATACTAAATATGAAAGCACTGTGGTCACTGTTTCCAGTTGGTTCACCATTTGGTTAAACCCAGGATCACCTTCCCTCTGGTCAGTTCCATAATGAACTGTAAGAACGTAAGGAAAGCCACTCTGGAGCAGACCAGAATTTCATCTGGTCCAGCAGTCAGTGCACATATTGGCAAACCAGATGCCAACTGTTCTAGGGCAACAGTCGTTTAGGATATTGAGAGATGTAGTTGCTTTGTCATGACAGAAACATACTTTAATCTAGTCACTCTCACTTGGAGGCCTCTGAATTCCTTTTCCAACCCAAGTACGGTTTGAACATTCTGGTCATGCCCTTCAATTCATTTTGGAATGGAGGAGCATCACCCACAGTGCTTCTGTGGAAGAGTCTGGTCATTTTAGGCTTTCCAGCCAGCTTCAAACTGTGCCCTCTTTGAGAGACAGAACAGTACCTCTTCCAAAGCCCTTCAATGTCTTTCCTACAGAGTTTTTACCAGAGTTTACTGTATTCCACTCAGGGTGGATAAAATTCAATGATTTTTAAAAATGGATTTTAAATTGGATTCTTTAAATAAAATGCTTTTTTGAGGGAAAAATCTATCTAAAGATAGTTTTCTGTTTAAGATATATTACAGTCCAAAGGTTATTCAATGAGGATTCATTTTTAATTATGCAGCATGAGGCTGTATATTAATGCAATACTTAATTTTTTTAGTAAATGAATTCCATCGATCCATTCACAATGCCATGCCTTTTCCAGAAGTTTCTGTAAGATTACTGGGCAGTTTTTCTATCTAGACAATACTATCACTGATGCTTGGTTTTACAGTTCTCAAAAATGAATTTATGGAAATTACATGCCTCTTCTTCACAACAAAAATGCAATAAAATAAACATACAGAGAAAAAGACCTTAATCCCATTGTTCCTTTGCAAATCTACATACACAGAATCAATCCCTTACTAAGCTTCAAAAAATTCAACAAATAGAAGAAAATTTCTGGGAGTGAAATAGATCTGCACAAGAAGCTAAGTGTGAGGAGGGAGGGGCAAGCATTAAAAATGAAAGTGAACCCTTTTGAGCAGAATATACCACAAGTCTTTGGATCTTCTTGTGTATAGCCTGAGGTTTATCGTATTATTCTTTCCCTGGAGGAGGAAACCTCTAATGGCAGTAGGCCATAAGAGAGACCCAGTCTGGGGATATTTTAATTAAGTCCCTCTACCTGTGAGTAAGACAGACATGCATGCAAATCATGCAGAAAACCATGAGGTAAATCTAGCTGATTAGTAATTTAAATCAAATCCACCCTGATGCCCAACATATGTAGGTCCAGCCTGGGAGCAACCTCTTCCTAGAACTGAAAGTAGACAGTTTTGGGCTAGCCTCCAGGACAAGTTCATGTTTGCCTCAGCTCTTGAGTCATGAATGTTTGTCCTGGCAATCACTGTTCCCCATATCAGGTATTTAACATTATCTGGTATTACTAGCAGCAAGATAACCTGCACTGTTTTGTTTTTGTCTTATTATAGGAGGAAAACTGACAGGGGCCATATTCAATCCAGCACTGGCTTTTTCCTTGCACATAAGTTGTTTCACTGATACATTTTGGAATTACATGCTGGTGTACTGGATAGCACCCTGTATAGGTAAGTGCCTTTATACTTCTGTATTTTTATGGCCTACTGGAGTGGTACTTCTAGCAGTACTGGAGGCAGTACAAGAAACAAGTGTTAGAGAGCAATCGTCTTGATTAAGGGACAGCTCTGGTTAAATATAGAAGCATGTTAAATGATCTCTTCTGCCTACTGCCTGATGAAAGCAGGCTGCCATGCTTGCTTTGGGTGCTTTAGCAACATCAGCGGCCTGCGGTTCGAAAAGGATCCTGCCGACAGGACGCTTTGATGAGGATGAGGCTGGCTGGCACTCCTCACCTCTCCCAGCATTAATGGCAGAAGTCGGTGTTTCACCAGTACCATTTGGGGTTATCCTCTTTTAAAGTAAGGTTACAAGGAAGCTTAGCTGTAATTCAGTTATGAATAGCAGTTGCAAAAAATGCTTGTGTGCGTAAGTGTGAATAAGGCTCAATATGATGAATAGACTAGGGTCATGCACTGCAACATGTTTAAAGCATCACAGAATCTCTCCCTGTTGAAAGACACATCACATGAATACACTTGCTTAGTCTCAAGGCCATCACCTAAGTAGCTGAACACAACCACCAGCTATTTGTTACTATGCAAGTGGTTCTGGTATCAACAACACTTCTCACTCCTAGCATGTATTTCAGCTTTAAACCACCCCATAAGCTTAGTTCTCTGAGACTTGTAACAATTAAAAAATAAAATGCAAAGTAACAAGTTAGATCCAGTAGCAGCATGTAAATCTAAAAAGGGTAAAGACCTAAAAGCATCTAAACAGTTCTTAAGTGGCCTTCAATGGTCTGGCACCACAAAGACCATAATACAAACAGCACGCACTGACCCCAAGGGTCTGTAGCTTGTGGGGGTGCTCCTGGACCCAAAACTATCACTTGAGCCTCAGGTGGACTTAATGGCAAGAAGTGCCTTCTTCCAGCTGCAATTGACCGACTGCAGCTCTACCTGGACAAGCAGAGCCTAGCCAGTCACCCATGCTCGAGTAGCCTCTCGACTGGACTACTGTAATGTGCTCTGTGTGGGGTTGCCCCTGAAGGCAGTCCACTGGTACAGAACAGGGCGACACTACTGCTGATGCAAGCAGAATCACATGCCCATGTGATCCCAATACTTGAGCAGCTTCATTGGTTACCAGTTGAGCTCCGAGCCCAATTTAAGGCGCTTGTTCTAACATGTAAAGTCCTAAACATGTTATATCTGAAGGACCGCCTGCTCCCATAGGTAGCTACCTGGCCCCTAAGATCAGTTGCGGAGGCCATTCTGAAAGAGCCGTCCTCCAAGGAGGTAAGGAGGACGGCTAATGGAAGAGGTTCTTCTCAGTACTTGTGCCCCAGTTATGGGATAGCCTTCCAAAAGCAGCTCACCTGGTGCCTTCCTTACAATCCTGCTGGGGCCAGATGAAAACAATTTTATTTTCTAGACATTTTAATAATTGATTTTATTTTGATAATTTTAAAAGTGGTTTTACAGTATTGCTGTTTTAATCTACACTGTTTTAAATTACTATCCCTTAGTCATACACTGTTTTTTCCTTCTGGTATTGTTAACGTGTTTTGATATATATATATATATAGTAATCTGCTTAGAGAACCCTTGGGCTAATACAGCAGAATATAAGTTAAATAAATAAATACATAAAAAGATTCTCTGGAAATGACATCCTATAGGTAGGAGCCACCTTTAAAAGGACCTCCCTGTTGCAGGCACCTGCCTCACCTTGTTTCTTTGCCGTTGCCCAGCCCTCAGCCATTCAGGGGTTTAAAAGTTAAAGCCAACACTTTGACAGTACTCTCTTATTCCAGCTAGTTGTCTTCTGGCATTGCCTAAACTCCTGCCTATGCTTACATCATTTCAGGGTCCGTGATGGTGGTCATGGTGTGGGATGACATCCTTCCCCTGCTTCGCGGATAAGTTTAAAATGGTAGAAAAAAGTTTTATCTGACAGACTATTAATACTGATGCAGCTGTATTCTACATGGAAGGCAGCCAGAAGGCTGGACATTCAAATCATTCTGACAGCTTTCAGGTGTTTTTCCTGGAAATATCATTAAAGGATTTTATAATACAGCATTATCTTGTGCCCTTGGAAACAAGATTTAACTTTCCAAGCTCTGACATGTGTATTTCAATTTCAAAGGTTTGCTTATTTTAAACTTGACATCAGTATAACTTGGAGGTGGGGGGGAGACTTCTGGTAACTAGATACTTAATTCTAGTTGCATATTTAGGCAAGCTTCTTTCAAAATAACTCACCTCACTTATTCTAATTAAGAACTCACCTAAAGCCAGGCATCTGTATTTATCCCTCTTCCTTTTCCATGAAATAATAATAATAATAATAATAATAATAATAATAATAATAATTACATTTCTATGCCGCCCCTTGCCGAAACCTCGGGGCGGAAATCCAAGCTTGCATTCACAGCCACCAAAAACACTTTACATATATATGTGTGTGGGTGGGGTACAGAACCAACATTCAAAACATAACAAACTTTCCTCACTTAAGACAAGGTGAGCCTTAGGAAGGAGAAGGGGGGATATGTGTACCAAGATTCATCCAAGATAACCCTCGATCTGTAATTGTTGAATTCTTCTTCAGCCAAATGATTGGAGTTTCCTTAACACAGTGGTTACAGTTTTAAGATGCCTGACAGGATGCAAGCAGTGTTGATCCCACACAACACTCACCAATATTGGTTCAGAAAACATGTTTAAAGCTCTGGCTGTCTAGATAACTTGACCATCAACTTCATCAGCCCTAGCCAGCAAAGCCAATGAGGAAGGATGCTGGGACTTTTAGGCCAGAACACCTGAAGGGCATGAGTGCCCACCCCAAGTATAAAACATCACATGTGCTTCATTCAAGTAACACCTGTTCATATGCCACAGTTTGCAAGAAAGGACCAACATTACAACATGCAATAGGCCAAGTTAAAGACTTTGGAATAACGAAAGGCGACTTCTTTAAGCAAATGATTTGCAAATAGAACAACACACACCTGAAGATGGTTACACATCACGATGGATAGCCATACATTTTGTAGCTATTACCTGGCTTCACAAATGCCACCAAGATTTTGTGCTTCAGTAAAACACCTCTCTCAAGGTATTTGCACAACATTCTGGATCACAACTGAAGGCAGTTTAGTTTTTTGTTAGTTATCATGTATCAGAGCTAGTATGCATTAACATCTATGCTACAGCAAACATTTTTAGCTACAGCTTGGGAAATGTTTCCTCTTTTCTCTGCTTTCCTCTTCTCCATCCCTTAAGTCTAAAGCTTCTACTGAAATTTAGAAAGAGGCAAACTGGAAGGATTCATGTATAAAAACATTTCTGATATATGCTCAGCTCACAGAAGCACTTTAAAAACAAACCGGGTCAAAATGTTAGCTGTGCATTCCATATTTGACATATTTTAACTACCAAGCCATTTTTAAAGCACATTTAAAATGTTGCATGTTCTGAAGTGATGTGTTATTCTGCAAGGATTATTGTTAAAGTAAACAGTACCTGCAGTACAGAACTGAACTTTGCCCGTAGCTGGTCTAACTTCCAAGCAAAGGCTTTACGCTGGTTGTAAGCTGAAACCTTTGGAAGAGAGGCAGAGTGCATGATTTACTGAGCTGGTGTTTTTGATTTCCTCCTGTAAGTTTCCCTGCCTCAGTAAGAACCTATAACACTGACACAGTTTTAACAGAAGTGCTGTATCAAAATACTACAGAATTGAGCATTGAATTCTTCAATCAAGAATGAAGAACTCTCAATGACTCGAATTTCATTCCTCTAGCCACATTTAACTACACAGTGAGTTTGAATTAATGTTGTGCAGCATGAGGAGGACGGCTAGAAAATGAACTGGAGCTCATTAAATAGCTGTGACTTAAGACAAACTGTTGATGGCTTGAATATATTTTCTTCTCTTTAGGTATATTTTCTTAATAAAGAAAACTTTGCCTTTATTGTTCCTCTGGTGTGTGTTTTTCTCCCTAGCCTATTAGACTGCATACCAACATACCCTTATTCCCATCTTTTAATTCTTGATCTCTCTGAGTTGGATCCAGACTAAGTTATGATTAACATAAGCACCATTCCTTTCAGAAGGTCTACAACCTAACTAACTTACTCTGCATCAAACCTGTTTCCAAGCATCATCAAACCCACTGCATTTCCCTGATGTGGCAGTGTAAGTACCGTTCTAGCAGATAAAAACAGTCAAAAAAACTATACAGCAGTGGTGAGGAACCTCTGGCAAATGAGGTCACATTTAAAATCCAAGTTTTCCCTGCAACTGTCTCACCCCTTTCTGCCTTACAATCCCCTTATCTTGAAAGGGATGTATTGCCCTTTAGGCAGAACATGCAAAAGAACAAGTGCACATCCTTTCACCATTGGTGAAGCTTTCTTCACCAAGGCTCCTTACTTAGGAGAAGTGAATGTGAGAAGGGGAGATTTTCACTCCTCTGATTAAACACTCAAAAGTATCACTGTACCCCAAAAGTTGCAAGCCACAAAAAGCAAGTCACCACCCGTTTAACGCTTTTCAAAATATTTAGGTTCAAGTCACCAAGTAAGTGCTATGCTTGTTCTAACTTAAGGTCTGTTGGAATAATACTGCTCTCAATGCCAAAAGGTGGCTTGTATCAGCAATCATTTTTAAAATGAAGTCTCTTTAGGTTCAGTAAAGAAAAACCTCACACATGGAGTACTCAATTATTTTTTTAAAGGGCTGCAAGAACAGAAGATCCCTGTTAAGCTTGCAACCCCCTTCAAAACATTTTTAGTACTAAAAATACCTGAAAACCATAAGGGGATCTGATTCTCCTTCCTATTCCTGAGCCAGCTATTTGGTAGGTGGGAAGAGAAGGCAAGGGTCCTGGTCCTGCTGAACCTTCCTCCTCTGACATAGGCTCTTTGCTTGCCTTCTCTCTCTCCTCCCAAACCCCTTGTTGTTTCTTGCCATCCAACACTCATCCTTGCTATTTCTCTCCCTTTCCTATCCCTAGCCCCTCTTCCTTCCTTCCTAGCCTCCCTCCAGCTCCCCACCTTTATCTTGCTGTTTCTCTTCACTTCCAACAGCTAACCTTGCAATTTCTCCTCCCCACCCAATCATTTGTGACCAGCCACAACCCCACAGTAGCCATTATTTGACTAGCCACATCCTCCACGGAAGGCATTTTGCTGCAGTGGCCACAGCAGTTTCTCGAAATCCCAGGTGTGCCCATGGTTCAAAAAGGCCAAGGTCACATCCCTCTAGCATACGTTCTTGGTCCCAAGTCACCTGTAATCAACCACAAGCTGTATTCACACACAACGACAAGCCGCGGCAGGAACTGCTGCTTTAGCGGAATAGCAGAAGCATGATGAACTGAGACACATGTAGTCCCTGTGAATCCTCACAGAGAACCACCAGTCTGTTCTGAAGTTTCCCCATTTTGGCACTGCTGCTCGTTATGTGCGAAGCTGGTTGCCATGTTTGTCTGTGGTTTCCCCATTTCAGCCAGTGAGTTCTGCGGCAAGAGTGTCCATGGCTGCTCCAGCCACCATTTCCTATGGCCCTGTTTACCTAGCAATGGCTGAGCTTCTGGTGGACAAGGCACTGGCCAGCTGCTCCCAAGCCTTCTGCCCTCCCTCCTGGCACAGATTCCCTGATGGCCAACTGCCCACCTACACAATGCTTGCTCAGTCCCCAAGCTGCGCGCCTCTCAGTGGTGCCACACTGGCGCCTCACAAGCCTGCGCCTCTCGCGAGCGCCCTCACATGGTGTGCCCCACCCATTATGAAACTCCCGTGCGCTGTCCCCACGTCCTCTCTTCTGTGAGAGGTGGGAACACAGGGAAGCCACAAGAATCTTGCAAAAGAAGTGGGGACAGTGCCTGCGAGCACACAGGAGCCAGGCGCTTGCAAGACAACAGCATGGCACCACCATGTGGGATGGACATTCTATATTATTATTATTATTATTATTATTATTATTATTATTATTATTTAGATTGGCAGCCCACCCATTAACCACAAGGCTACCTTGTCATCAAATCTTGGCGATCAGTCAGGCAGTGGGTGAAGTGGGTGCCCTGGCTGGGTTGCACATGACGGCAGCACAGTCACCAGGCATCAGAGAGTGCGCATCAGGAGGGAGAAGGAGGAGCGCCGCCAGCAGCAGCGACCCCGGGGCAGCCGCGTGTGGCACTCCCGCCTGGTTACTGCTCTGCTCTAATGAGCAGGCAAAAGCGGGGGGGGGGGGAGCAGTAGCCAGCTAAGACATGCAGTGCAGCATGCAGGCCAACTGGGGGGAAGCGGGATGCAAGCAGGAGCAGTGCTAGCTGGGACCGGGACGAGTGTCACCATTTGGACGGAACACAGAGGCGTGTGGAAGCTACTCATGAATAGATGCTTTGCAAACACATGAACACAGGACGTAAGAAATGTAATAGTGGGGCTGAGAGACTTTTAATCTAGCTTAACCGCAGAGAACCCTGTAGCTTCTAGAAAGAAGAGTTAGTCAAACCATACATATGAAAAATCGTCCTATAACCACGGCAAGAATGTTCCTAACAAAAATGGGGAGGCTGTAAGATACAAAAATTATATTTATTGAACCATTGTGTTTTATGTATAACAAAGACACAAGATGTCTTATCTGTGGAGCACTGCAGCTGTTATCCCTACACCACTAAAGCAATGACAAAGCAAGGACATCCAGTCAATCGAGACAATTCTTTGCAGTATTTTTCACAATGTATTAATTGTGCTCTGTCTCCAGCTTAAACAGGGCAATGCCACCCTCTCTCTTTAGCTAAACCAGAATATGCTTCCCTTAAGATGTGGTCAGCTGTGGATAAACAAGCACAAAAATATGGGGAAATTCTAGGACAATCTAGAACTCTGGTCTAAATACAACTTTATTCCTTAATTTCTAGTAATTCTGTAAAGGCTTTCCAGTTGTAAGCCATGATTAAGCCTCCACTCAGATCCAAATTATTACAGATTCCTTAAGTGTGTATACACACACAAAAACACATAAGCAACTCCACAGTGCCAAATCCTGTTGTATAAGCACATTTATAAAATCATGTACAGACCTAAATATCCACGTTTAGGCCGTTAATACAGATAGGGCGATTCTTGTTATGGTATCTTCAAGCTCGAATAGAACCTGTTCTTGAAATGCTGGCAGAAGAATCTAAAAGATAGAAAATGCTTGTTTTCAGTGGTGAGAACTCCTGTTTATGTCAGAGAAAGGGCATGCAAAACAGCAGGGGGAAAACTTCCGTCATGTGGCAGGAATCTGTTGGTACATTTTCAGGACAAAGATCATCCTAGCCTGTGCTAGAAGACCCAAGTTTCATGTGAAAGGAGCTTATAACAGTAGGCTAAGTTAGACTAATTTGTTTTTCATGTTATTTGGATTCAGACTCTGGATGGCTTGGCAAGAAGCCACGGCACCAGGGCAATGAAAAGTATTAACAGAGGCATGGAGAAAAGGGCATATGGCCACAGGCCAAGAGGAGGACATGTTGTCACAAACAAAATGGGAGCTGACCTCAAGAGAAGGTCATCCTAGTACTCAGTTCACCTTTTTCACAGCGGAATTTGGTGCCTCTTTCCATGAGGTTTCACAGCCCATTGCCTGACAGCACTGCCTTGAAAGATGGGGTGGTACACTGCTGCCCAGGCTTGTCTGTGCATTTACTTCAGGCAGTGCGGCATTTAGCTGTGGGGAAAGGGAAACGTGGTCCCATCCACAAATGGCAAGCATCCCTTGGCAAGCAGCCAGCTGCCTGGCTCTTTTCTCCTTTTAAGGGAAGAATGCTCACCAGCTCCTAATCCCAACACAAGTGAATGCGCACACTCAAAAATCAACAGTGAGAACCAAGAAGAGGCAAGAAAAGCAGCAGCAAAAAGCACTGGAGCAAATTTATGCAGCATGGATACATGTTCAAACATATTTTTACCCTACTCTTCCTCCAAGGAGCTCAGGAGAAAGAACAGGGTAAAAATATCTACACATAATTCTCCTTCCCCATTTTTCTTCACAACAGCTCTCCAGTGTAGACTCAGCGACAGTGACTTCTCCAAAGTCATCCGGCTCTTTGTTATGACTGTGTGTACTTTTGTGCTGTAAACTGTATTAAGGATATTTATAAAAATCATACAAATACCCCCAAATCAAAGAACCTTAATAATCTGAATTCAGAGACACTATGTTGCACAAACTGTACAGAGGAAAGTAGCCCAAATATCACCATAATTAATATAATGCCCAACACAAGGAACATTTCTTATTTAACAGAAATATTCTATATGCTGTTTTTCAATTATAAAGAAAGTTAATGAACCGGAGGGGCTTTGAAACCGAGCTGAGAAAAAATGTATTTATATGTATTTATCCTATTTCTGTGTCACCCAATTGCTGAAGCTCTCTGGGTGCCTGAGTAATTAAGAGGCAGTAAGAATTGAGAGAACACCTTACAGGCACCCAGGTCCTCCTCAATGATCGACGTCAGCGTCTTCAAACTGCCCAGCTACTGATGGTGCCACGTCCACCTCCATCCCATCTGGAAGCCAAGAAAACAATTGACTGAAGAAGTTGCAGGCATTTAAGGTCCTCTGCAGAGCACGCTGCTTGCTCTGTTGCCAAGAGAAGCCTGACTCAAGTGCAGTACAATTACCGGACTGACAGGGCTCAGATGGACACCATCCAACCTCACCCCAAACTGTGGTGCAGAGCAGTTTATTACAGAGCAATCCAAGCAACCTTAAGCCACAAAGAGAGCGGAAACTGTAAGGCACTTATTCAGCAAGCAGCCCAAGATGAAGTTGTCAATAATGTTTATCTGATTCAGTCCCCAGGGTTAAAGATTAAGCATTAAAGATGGAAAAGGTGGGATTCAGATGAAATCCACTTAGAAGCAATGAGAGAGGTGCCTGGACCCTGGCAAACCTCACAGGAAAGCGCAGTCTTTAACTGGAGCAGCTACAGGTACTGCCTCAGCAGACAAGGACAGCCATGCTGGATCAGGCCAGAGCCTCTCGCAGCATCCTGCTCACACGGTGGCCCCACAGCCCCCTGTGCAAAGCGCAGCGGCATGACTGGAGTGCAGCAGGTGTGAATGCTGTATTCAAAGGAATACAGCCCCTGAGGCTACAGGCTGCATCTAGCCACCAGGACTAGTAGCCGTGGACAGCCGCCGCCTCCTCCATGAATTTGTCTGACCCCCCTTTTAAAGCTATCCAAATTGGCGGGCATCCTTCTATCTTGGGGAAGTAAATTCCATGGCTATCTCTGTGCTATGAGAAGAAACTGGTAAGTTTCAGAAGGACAAGTGGGGTGAAAGAGGGGGATGAGTGAGTGAGGCGACTGGTTTTTGACTGAGAGTAGGTGGGCAGAGCTTGGAAGTTTGAAAGGAGAGAGAAATAGATACTCTCAGTCAGCAATTACAGTCAGTTGGAAGCAGCCGGCAGTCTGCAGAATCCGAAGAGGCATCCTTCTCATTAAAAACCCAGATAGTGCTGTGGAAGGCATTTAGGATCCATAAGGAAACGGAAGGAAGTAGAATACTTGGGAGGACATATTAGCGACCAGGAAGAGTCAAAACCTGAAATTGTCAAGTAGTATATGGGCATGAGAGATGGAAGCTGACAGAAACCTGAGTGCAGAAGGGAAAGATTAAACCAAGAAAAATAAATTAAAGACTGGTCGAATTTACATTCAGGAGAGAAAGGAGGATCTGGGAGTGAGGAGTGTTTGTGAATGGAAAGAGTGAGATTCCTCAGTCAGAAGTTATTATACATTGCTTTATTCAAGAAGAAAATAAGTTACTGAACATCTTGAATCCAATATGCTTCTTGTACAAATATTTGTTTTGTTTATTGATACAGCCACAGACTATTTGAATATCAGTGTCTCATCCACATAGTCCAACAAAGGAACCTTATAACTTCGGCACAATAGTGTGGGAGAAGTTAATTAATGAGATTGGAATTAAACTCCTGGTGGAGAAAGAAAGGGAGATTTAAGAAAGTTAAGGACACTCCATGTCCAAACAGATTAGAGAGGAGTACCCATGTCACCCTCCCAATCCACTCCCTCAACCACAAGCACAATCTCATCCATCTCCACCCATGGCTATCCTCCAGCCATGGTGTTTGGACAGCTCAGCCAAGCAATCGAAGCCACGGAACTGAGGAGAGGAGAGCTTGGCCTGTGCCTGGGCCTGGAAGGAGGTCCTTTCACCTGGGACAACATCCAACCCACCTGCTCGCTGGACAGATGTTGCTATACGCAATCAGCCTGAGCTTGCCACCAGAAGGGAGGCGGCACACTTTAGGTGGAGCATGCAGCCCCCCGGGGCAAGGGTCGCACTTACCCTCAAATTCTCTGACGGAGTCTTCTGTCCGCACCCCGGCCATGTGGTACTGTGTGCTTATCGACTGTGCAAGCATGCCCTCCAGCCTCTCCAACGTAGCCTGGCCCTCGGCAGTCAGGTGCGACAAGCCTTCTTCATACGTGTAAAATGACGGGATGTCACCTTGGCCTATCTCTGCAATGACAACACACCCAGGGAGCTGTTAGGTTGCTGGATAAAACAGCTGGAGGTGAACAGTCGGGTCACTTCCAGATACTATACCAGCCTTTCCAGAGCCTGACACTACCCTGTGCGTCAGACTGAGGCTCTCGTCATCCCCAGTCATTTTAACGTTCAACCCTTTGAGCATTTTCTCCACATTCTGAAAGACTGGAATGCCTCTCCATGGGCTTCGTTACTAGAAATAAAAGGCTTAGGCTATTTTTAAAAGGTCTGAGCTGGTGCTTTTTGGCTTTGCTCCTTTTACATTTGGCCTGCCCATCATGGGAATGCCCCCTCTCTCTCTCTCTCTCACACACACACACACACACACACACACACACACACACACACACCCGGCCAGCTCCTGTGCAACAGAATTAGGCCCTTGGACTGAGAGAGGTAAAGAAGTCCTAAGGAAATGCTCTATGTAGCTCAACCATGAGAATATCAGTGCTGGCAATGTTCCACATAAGAACTGCTGTTCTGGGTCAGGCCAAGGGTCGTGGTCTCCAGTGGTGGTCCTTGGGGGCACAGAAGCGGAGCCTGGTGCAGCAGACAGACCCTGCTTTCCCGAACAGGCAGAGACACACTGCCACCAATCACAAAGCAGCCTTTCAGCCCTCCATGGCGAGTATCTCTTGACCGACCGTGACAAACTTAAATAGCCTTGGAGTATGTGGGAGATGTATGAAAAAGCATGCCCTTCCAAAAGCTACTTCAGTGATAACAGAGTTAACTGTAAGAGCCAGATGCTTGACAAAGGACATAGCTCTACGAAATTTCTGCTAGAAGCTGAGCAATTCTGGCTCCATGGTTTTGACTGACTTTCACCTTTGCAGAGACATGGGGTCCCCAGCAATTATGGCCCATGGCGAGTCAAAGGCAAACTCCAAAACTTAGGGAATATTCCATAACAATGTTCTACTTACCATGGGCCTCAACGTCATATTCATCACCATCATAATCGTTGTCAGAGTCTTCATCTTCAGGGTCAGGATGCAGGGCTTGGCATTCACACATGGCGGAGAACATGGCTTCAACTAGGAAAAACACAAATGCAACACTTGTCCACTCAAACCTGGTAAGCAATGGCCGCCGGAACGTGCTTTCCCCCATGTCAAATCATTCATGCTACAAGGCAGACCTCTATGAACTCTGGCCAACTTGATACTTTCTGGACTTGCCTGATGACGACCCCCATCCTCCCAGCCGCTGTGAGTGAATGGAACATGCAGTCTAACACATAAGGAGGATTCCAGAATGGAGGATGCCCAGTACCAGGCCAAGATCTTTCCCAGACCTGTGATCCATCCTTTAACTGGAGATGCCACAGGACTGAACCTCTCAGCCAAGACACAGAGCAGTTGCCCGTCAGTGCCAAAGAACTACTCACAATTTCTTGAGCTAAACCAAACTCTTGCTGAAACACTACTGTCAGAGCACCTTACTGAGAAATTAGGGGCTTGAGGCACCCCACAGTCCTTGTTCAAAACCTGCCCTGTGGATCAAGGCTGGTTCCACAAGCAGCTTCGATGGAGGTCCTGCCCCGTCTCTCTGAAGGCACAGCCAGATACTTCCCAGGCAGCAGTTCATTATTTCTAGGTGTGGAAGCTGTGCTGAGCAACCAAGGGCTTATCGGCTCTGTTACCAGCAGGGTAACAAGCCCTGGGGGCCAGTACTGAGGGCAAATGCCTTCACTCGCCTCAGTTGCAAATGAACCAATCTCAGCAATAACCACACATTTATTTATTTATTTAATTTAGAAAATTTCTAGGCCGCCCCATTCGCCGAAGCCTCGGGGCAGCTTACAAATAAATAAATTAAAATACCTAAATAACAATATAAAATACACGCAACTGTATAAAATAAGTTGCCCTGGCCAAAAACTTTAAAATAAAAATAACATTAACAATTAAAATGACACTTGAATAAAAAGGTCTTCGCCTGGCGCCGAAAAACAAATAACGATGGCGCCAGGCAGACCTCTCTGGGGAGTGCATTCCATAGATTGGGCGCCACCGCAGAGAAAGCCCTCCTCTGAGTACCTATCCTCCTAATTTCCTTCATGGAAGGTTCCCAGAGAAGGGCCTCTCCCGCTGATCTCAGGGGGCGGGCAGGCATATATGGACGTAAGCGCTCCTTCAGGTAGCCAGGACCCAAGCCATTTAGGGCTTTATAACTGGTCACCAACACCTTGAATTGGGCCCGGACTTCAATGGGAAGCCAGTGAAGCCGACAGAGGACTGGAGTCATGTGAGCATAACGCCCAGTCCCCGTCAACAGCCTGGCAGCTCTATTCTGAACATTATTTCCCAGTGCTCTGGATTAGGACAAAAAGGTACCAGATAACAGCAACCTTACCCACACAGCACAGGTTGAGTTCAAGGAACAAGAACCACCTGTCCCAGTTTGCGAAAGAGACTCTCTGACATACGCCAACCTTAGCCAGTAGCAGTCATAACGAGAGTAGACTCTGACAGGTCGGACTGTGTCAGGCAACTGATGCAAGTTCAGGAGTGACATTCAGGCCCACCGAGACATCCAAGCAGGCCCAAGCGAACAACAACAAAAGGCCGGCAACCAGAAGGGACAGAAAAAAGCCGGTGAAGAGTGCAGGCCTGCGAGCGGTGCGAGACGGCCCACCGGCTGACCTCCAAGGGGACACGGCATGTGCCACCCATTCTTTATTTTAAGCAACCCTTGCCTGGTGTGTGGAGCATTTTTTGAAAAAGGGACATGTGAGAATCTCATGGGGAGGAAAGGAAGGCGAGAGAGGAAGCCAAACTGCCATCTTTAAAGAAGGTAGGCAGACAGACGGGGCCCAGGAATCTCTCTCCCTGCTGCTCCCATTCAAGAAACATCCCCAACAGAAATGATAAGCAATTCTTTTTTCCAAGTGAGCCACTCCAGCTCTTTCACTTACGGGCTGATTTGTCGCTGGGTATGAAGCGGAATTCTGAAATGGGCTCGAGCTCCTCATTGTCCTCTTCTTCTTCCTCTTCCTCCTCTTTTTCCTTCTCTTCCATAGGAGCTTCTTTTGATTCATCGGCTGTGGAAATAAAACACCAATCAAGCTGACTTTCCTGGTTAACCACTTCAGTGATCTATGCCACCCGCCACAACCTAGCACCCTTGATGTGGGTGATGGAAGTTGCAATCCTGCACATCTGAAGAGTGCCAGGTTGAGGAAAGCTAGTCTGTGAAAGCACAATGTTACTTGAACTTAAGTGTCACGCATTCCAATGGTCTATTCTAAGCAAACCTAACACTAGATGCAAATCAAGAATCCAGGACCCCATTAATCCCATAACTTGAACAAAACCAGCCTTTTGTGACAGGCTTGATATAAATTTAAAAAGTAGGGGATGTTAACTGGGAAACAGTATCTGTTTTACTTTATGTATCTCTAAGGTGTAATCCAACATCCAGAGAATCACAGGTTCCCCAGCCTGTTTGCACAGCAAAGTAGCTTTTTGGAAGCGTAAGGTCTAGAAACATATTTGAATTTTGAATCACACAGCACAAGTCAGCAGGATCACAAACGATTCATATTCTTTGTCAAATGCTTCTAGTCCCCAACAACCCAGAATCTTCAGGTTGTTCCACACCACACAAACTCACCTAACTACCCGCAGATAAAGGAAAGGGAGATTGATTGATTATTTATTTAGGGAACTTCTATGCCGCCCCATTCGTCAAAGCCTCGGGGCGGCTCACAATCATAAATAAATAACGTAATATAAAACAATATAATTTAACAGTATAAATTAAGTTGCCCTGGCCAAAGAATAAAATAAATAAATAATATTAACAATTAAAATAACGTTTGAATAAAAAGGACTTTGCCTGGCACTGAAAAACAAATAACGACGGCACCAGGCGGACCTCTCTGGGGAGCGCATTCCACAGATGGGGCGCCACCGCAGAGAAAGCCCTCCTCTGAGTACTTACCCTCCTAATTTCCTTCACGGAGGGTTCCCGGAGAAGGGCCTCTCCCGCTGATCTCAAGGGGCGGCCGGGCATACATGGATTACAGGGAATAAGAGGCTGGGTGGGTTCTTTCCAAAGATTACCTAGCAGTATTCCAACTGGAAGCTATTCTGCTCCACACTGATGCAGTGCAATGTGGCCAAGTTTTGCTCTGAGAACCTGTCCCACATCAAGAGGTGCAAGGACACCTACTTTTGCCAGCAACTCCTGCCTGCCTCATGAGACCAACCTGCCACCTGGCAGTACTGCTACCCTTTGCCAGTGTAAGTGGTTTCTTAATTTTATTTCCATGCTGTCCAATAGCCAAAGCTCTCTGGATGGTTTACAACACATAAAAATTCAATATAAAATATGAACCTCATTAAAAATCATAAATTTACCATACAAAAATTTAAAACCAATTTAAAATCTATTTTAAAAATTGCAATAGCTTAAAGTACATTTTAAAACCTACTTACACAGCCAACAAAGTCTCAGTAAACCAATTAGAAACCCCAGCAGAGGGAGATAGTTTTAACCTGGCACTGAAATGATATGAAGATTGGCAACAGGCAGGCCTCAAGGGGGAGCTTAGTCCAAAACTGGTGAGCCACCACTGAAAAGACAGTTCTCTTCCTTGCCACCACCGAAGCCTCCCTCAAATGTGGCAACTGAAGGCAGGCCCCAGAGCATGATCCTAGAAGATGGTGGTCAGGAGAGGGATTGTCCAGTACAGTGGTCCCAAGCTGTGTAGGGCTTTATACGTTAAAATCAGCACCTTGAATTGGGCTTGGAATTGGACACATACAGGTAGGCAGAATTGGTATCATATGCTCTGACCATCTGGCCTGTTCCTAAGCTGGGTGCTGCACAAGCTGCAGCTTCCAAACAGTCTCCAAAGGCAGCCCAATGTAAAGTGCATTGCAGTAATCGAGTTCAGAGACTGCTACCTCCTTTATTCACTTTTCCTGTAGTTGACCTGACAACAGGCTGATACCTGGGGATTCTGTCCTGCTCCGCTTGCAACAGAACATTTGAATAAGAGCATCTGGTGCTCTCACCCAGCAGCAGAGAACAACTCTGGGTAGAACAAGAACCCGCTCCAAGAAGGCAGCTGTGCAAAAGGGCAAAGCCTGTAGCACTGCATGCAGTAACATGGGCTTCACAATGAAGGCTTACAGTACAGGGTCAAAACCACTGGAACAAAGCACATGATACTTCCTCGAGATTAGGACTGCTTAGGGATGGGTTATCTTCTCAGTGGGCCAGCACTGCCTTTGGAGTTCAGACTTGCACCAAGAGCTTTCAAAACGAAGCAGAGAAAGGCTAAAATTCACATACGCCCTAATTAGTCAGGTTTGTAGAAAGTGCTACACAAATGATATTCCATGATTCAAAGAACTGTCTGTATAGTCAGGATTCTTGGAAAGGAAGTAGCGCAGCCCTTAGTATCCATTTATCAAAGCTTACTCCACCCAGTGCAGTCAATGTGGAATACATATGCTTGCTCCCACGTTATCCTTAAGCCACCCTTGCAAGGTAGACTAGACCTGCAATCCCAACTTGCCCATAGTCACCCGCTGAATTTCATGACCACACAGGGATTCTAACCTGCTGTTTCCCACAAGCTCCATTTATTCCATTAGACTGGCTCTCTCCTGAGAGTGCAAAGATGGCCCCGTACCTTCAAACTTTGCATTTACCATAACGTACAAATGCTCCCACGGGTAGGCATTCACGTCCCTGGAGATGGCATGTAAGCTAATGATGGGATAGTCCAAGGAAAATCCAAGGCCAGAAGTATCGATCCATGACAGACGGCTAGAAGAAAAGACATCCAAAGAAATAACCCAAGTGACAAGCACAAAAATTATTTTATATAATTTATATTATATATATTTATATTGTGTGTGTGCAATTTCTGGAATAAAATTAATTAAGTCAATGTTCACTAAGTCAATGTTCACAGCATACCCAGGCTATCTGCCAATCTGATACTAAGCAGACCTAAACCTGTTTCAAATCAGCAACATACCTCGCAGGGCTGTTCTGGGGATAACATTAAGAAGCAGTAAAAGAGAAGGATCACAGGAATACAGCAGACTATGCATACTGAGTCAGATCCTTGTTCTAGCTAGCTCAATGTTATCAGTCACAGCTGGCAACAGCTCTCTAGCATTCCTTTCTAGCAGGGGCAGCAGCAGGTACCCAAAAGTCACAAATGTGCACATGCTGATATGTGCTAAAGTCTTTGGGCATAGTCAAAAGACCCTACCTCCTAACCACAATCCTATTTGTAAAGGAAAAAAGACAGACAGACATGGGCAGGGGAGAGAGAACAGCATTTAATTGCAGAAAGAAATCCCAAGCAGAAAAAATCACAGGGAGGTCGCACAAGGGGAAGCACATTTGGGCCAAAAACCAGGTCAACTACAGGGGGGAATCAAAGATCCCCAGGGCCACTCCTGTTGATTTAAACAAATACCTGTGTGAAACAAGGTGCTGGGGCAGGCGATCTCCCAGAGACTCGGGGCTCCAAAAGAAAGGAGCCCCGTCTCTTTGACAACCCCGCTGCTTCTTACGAGGAGCGAACTGGGGCCCTGGGCATAGCAAGCGGGGGCTCTCCCAATGACTCTTAAAGACAGCCCCTCCTCTTAATAGACACCTGGCTGGCCCGGGCCTCAGGCTGGCAGAGGCGGGGCAGAATCGCCATAGTAAACAGACTTATCCCCTCAGACAAGAGAGGAAGGAAGGGCCTTCAGGGCCAGCGCACACAGGGCTCCTCCTCGGAACACTCCAAGCCCGCCACGGCGCTTACGCCGAGTTTCGGCAAGGAAGAAAGGCCTGCAGCTCCCCGCATGCCCCAGCCGGCCAGGCGAGCTCCGGCAGAGGGAAAGCGGCCTCCAGCTTTTCCGCGGAACGCGCCGAGGCTTGCGCCCCCGACCGCCCGATCCCCTCCGGACCTCCCCCGCTGCCTGCGAGAATCCTGCGGGGCCTGCGGCCTCCGCAAGCCGCGACGGGCCGGCCGCTCCGCCCGCTCACCTCTCGGCGATGTAGAGGCTGCCCGTGCCCAGCCCCCGTCCCCCCAGCACGGCCTCGGTGTCGGGCTGCCTCAGCCGGACGCCCTCGCGGGGCTCCGGGAGACGCCTGAGGAAGCTCATGGCGAGCGGGACGCGCCGGCCTGCTCGCTGCTTCCGCGCCGGAAGCACAACTCGCCCGGCCCGGAAGTGCTCGGCGCCGCCTGCCCGCCCGCGTCACCATAGAGACGCGGCGGCGCCGCCTCTGTCCGCGTCGTGGCCGTCACGTGGCCGCCGGCGCCCGCCATGTTGGGCCTGCGCCTCGGAAGGGGGGCGTTGGGCGAAGCGGGAGGGGCGCCCGCCCCCCGCCCCCGCACGGGGGGCTCGGTCCCGTTTGGGCGAGTTTCTTGTTTATAACTACATTTCTGTCACGCTTTCTTGCCTGCAGGGAACGCAAGGCATCTGCACAACAGCCCTGTGAGGTAGGTTGGGCTGAGTGCCTGGGATCGGCCCCAAGGCCCCCAGCTGGCTCATCCATGGGCTGGCGAGGACGCGAAGCTGGCTCTCCTGAGCCCCAGCTCCGCGATCCTGAGCAGGACGCCCCACTGACGCCCGTTCTGTTTGTATCCCGCTGCCCGAGCTGGGCAGCTCTGTCAAGGCAGGGCATTTTGGAAGGCTTCATTCAAGTCGAAGAAGACATTTTCCCCCCTGAAAGGAACCCAAAATAACTTGCAGACACGTCTTTCTCTTCTCTTTATTCTCACAAGATCCCTGTGAGCCAGGTTGAGAGTGACTGGCCCAAATTCGCCCAGGAGGCTTCACACTTCGTGAGGACTGGAACCTGGATCTACCAGGGCCCAGTCCAACCTCCATCGGTCCATATTGGCTTTTGAGGCAGAGCTGTATGGTCTAAATTAATGGTTTAAAACTTGTTTATTACTTTATGTGGATATCTCATCCTCACCCTCCCCACAAGGAACGCAGGGCTGCTTATACGATCCTCCTCTCTCCAGTTTTACCCTAACTACAGTCCTGTGAAGTAGACTAACCTAATATCACCTAGTGAACTTCAGGGCCAAATGCAGACTAGAACAGGGATCCCCCAAGTCCCAGTCCAACACTCAAACCAGCACACTGGCATTTGTCTATAGACCAGAATTCTTTAACATGGTGCCTTTCAGATATGTGCAACTCCACTTCCCATCATCCCCAGGCATGAGGTGAGGCTGTTGTTCAATGCACATGAATGCACCAGGCTGGGAGGCTGCTTTCAGGAACCTTCACTGTGGGCTGCCCTCAATTTAAAGAGGAGTGGGTGGGAAAATAAGCAGCTCGTGTATGAAAGAAACAAAACAATCCAAAGCCGTTTTGAAGAAAAATGCATTTTGTCTGCATTTCTCGCTGCTGTATATGTGACGGAGCAGTTTGTGCCAATACGTGGGGCCTTTTGAGTTCGCTGCTTCACTTGAAACACATTTTGCTTTAGGCTCTTCTTGCTTTTGAGAGCTACATGACAGGCTGGCATGGAAGATACTAGAAGCACAGAACATCTGGCAAGAAAGGGAAGCAAACCAGCCTATGTTCAAGACTGTTGAGTGTTTTTTAAGTGGCATCAACTTATGACACACCTCTGTTCCTGGGGGTGAGCTGCACAATTGATTCTGCAGTCCAATTCCAGCATGACTGAAAATAAACGTTTGTAATAGAGGCAATTTCGGTTAACAGAACAGCAGCGGTTCTAGTACATAAGACGTTCAGCCATACCCAAGCAAACACACATAAGGAACTGTGTCATTCAAGCATCACATGATTTTAAATGCAAAATTATTTGGAACCATCAAACTTCTTCCTGAAACCTGATTAAAGTTTGGCTTATAAATTTCTAGTTAGCCACTGCTGGCCTAGGTAACTCTCTGGAACTGATCATACCTAATCCAAATTTTACAAATTTGGTCACATTTTTTTATCACACATGAAACTCCCGATTTTCCCCACTGAATGTCTATTTGTTGCCCTCTATGCTTCGTTTTATTTTATATTGTATATTTGTAACTTATTTTAATGTATATATTTTAAAATGTTATTTAACTTATTTGTTGTAAGCCGCCCCGAGGCTTCGGCGAAGGGGGCGGCATAAAAATGTTTTAATAAATAAATAATAAATAAATTTTGAAAACAGCAATTGTATTAAACTCGTTTGCAAACAGAATTAGGCCTACTGTCACGCTGTCTCATCTTCCATCGCTAAGAGGACAAAGCACAGTGGAGCTTCCCCAACATGCACTCTGGGCATCAGCTTATTTAAATGGGTTTTTTATTATGACAATTTACATGTCATATTTATATGAAAGAAATGACAGTAGATATTATAAACAAAAAACATTATGAAAGAAAAAAAGTTACACAATTAGGCCTCCAAGCTATAAAAAGGCTGCAGGCCCAGCTTATACACAAAGAGCTCTGACCAGACCGTAGTGAGACGACATTGAACATTTCATTAACAAAAATATTGGCACCAGCCGTAACATTTTTTTTAAACTTCATTTACAAGGAATACAGTATTTAAACAGTCATGTACTGCAAAGCTAAAAACACCAGCTGTTAGTCAACTGCAGTTAACCACTTTGAGTGCCGAGGGCGCTGGGACTCTCTGTTTCAAGTCATTTTTTCCCATGCAAGTAAGTTTACTGGTGTGTGTGGGAGGAAACAAAGAGAAAAGTGATAAAGCAACCCAAAATTTATGTACAACAATGAAGACACTTCCAGTTCTCTCCCCAAAGTGTTCTCCCTCCCTCCAAATGGCCACTTTATGCAATACTTAAAAAACGAAACATCAACATGAAGAGGAGCTCCACACGCAGTAATAATGTGTACACCTCGCTCCTGTAGTGCAGAGTCTGCAGCAAGTACTCTAATTGGAAAGTACACATCCGCTTCCTAGTCTGCCCACTCCAACTAAAGAGACATCACTTTCTACAGTGACTGGCTATGCTTGTTCTTAAAAGTACACACAGCGCAAAAAATCCAGAGAGCCCCATCCCTCCCAGCTGTAGCCAACCCATGGGTTTTTTGTTTGTTCAAAGCAGGGTTCAGGACACCTGTCGTACAAGGGTTTTTAAGAGTGCCTGATCAACATTTTTCAGAAACTTCCCCATCGTACTGCTTTCCCAGAGAGCAAATCGACTAAGAAAGCCAATTAAAGGTGCAAAGAGCAGCCGTGTGCTCACCCAGGGGCCTTGCCTGCACGGCGATGCTCTGGCAGAGGTGCCCACGTGGCTCCCTTGCTCCCAAAGGCCATTGGTGCACTGCTGAGTGATGGAAACTTTGGACAGGGCTCTTGGCAGACTGCGCACGGAATCCACGAGTCGAGCACCGAGATGCTGCACCAGCAAAAGAAGAGGGATCCTGGAACCAACCTTTGTGAAGGTCACAAAGAGCTCCAATTTTAAGGGAGAGCAACTACCTTGCCCGGCTAGTTCAAGGTATGCGCATCAAAGAGTTGCAAGGAAGGCCCACGAGCTACAACATCATGCCCATCGTGGACCGTTTGTGGTGGGCCTTCCTGGCGTGACGTGTGCTCCCGAAAAGACCAGGGAGGAAGGGGCTCAGCAAACGGCCTCTCCCACTGCACGAGAGAAGTGCCCGCACCGAAGGGTGCAAGTGGAGTGGGGCGGGTGCGCCTGCCCCCAGAACTGAGGAAAGGGCTGGGCACAGTAAGCATGGGAAACAAAACCGGAGGTGCAAACCATCAAGTGCCGCTACATGTCAAGGCCTCACTGAACACAAACACAGGCGGTTCAACCACCTGATCTACCTCCCACTACTTGTGTTTCATAGCAAAGATGAAGGTTCACCTGGCTGACATCTGTAAAAGACTTCCTGGACAATGGAGAAAGCCAGTGGTAGACCAAAACCATCTCATCATGCAACCAGCCATCTTCAACCTGTGGGGACCTCTGGAAAGTTTTAGAGACCTGCTGTGGAACTGAACTGTGGAACTGGCAAAAGGCTTAGAGGCCACTCCTTCTCCCCAAGTGATGTGCTTCTTAATATGTTACAGACCCAAATAGCATTTTAATTCACGTTATGCTAAGATGCGAGTAGATTCATAGAGCCTACATTTAGTCAGAAATGGGAAACTGAAAAAGGCAGAACATTCCCACTGCACTCATGTCAAACATCAGGACAATCATATTCAAGAAGTGCTTCTCACTGATAAATGGCAAGTCAACAGCTAAAGCCTCTTGCGTTTTTCAGTGGAACACGCATTATTCATTTGGGGAAATTTGGTAGTGACGTTAATCTACCAAAGTGTACCAATCCCGTTTTAGGCTTGCCACAACCTAAGTTGCACTGGGCTAGACGCAGCTAAGGAGAGATGCAAAGCAAAACAGTGAAACTAAGTACACAGAAAAGTGCTATCAAGTGCCTACCACAGACAGACATGTCCACACACACGCACACACGGCACAACAGAATCCACACTCCAGGGCAGAATCCATCTCGTGGTGTAGACTTTTGTGAGTTGCATCCAAACATTCGTCGAACTCCAATCCCATTCATTGAAATGAGTCTACTCTAAGTAAGACTAACACCGAGTACAGCCGTGTGAGCTGCCTCACTTGGAACCCAGCACACGCAACGGCTGGGCTGCAGCCTACTCTCAACCCTTAGGCCCATCCGCCTTTGTTCCCTGTTGGGTTTCCTTCTTGCAGCTGCCACCATTGCCGAGGTCTCTGGAGCACCCACACAAGTACCACAGGCTTCTCTCCTCCTTCTGTGCACAGAACCAACATCGGCTAATTTAAACAAAACTTCTCCCTGGCTGACTGAATGTGGAGTGAGCAGAGACGGGACACGCAGCTTCAGGAAAATTGGAGGCATGGAACCTGAAATTCCGAGGAGAGAGGGAAGAATGGGACAGGAGCACAGACAAGCTTGGGAAACGAGGGTAATATCCCTTGCTTGTGCCAGGGTAAAGGTTAAGCACAGCCTGGGAATGAGGAGGAAAAGGGTCCGACTGCCTCTGTACAGACACCCAAGTGTAATAGAGATAAGACCAACTTTTAATTTGGGAAGAACAGCTTGGCTAGCAAAGTGTGAGACAGCAGTGACTCAAAAGACTCAGCATCACACAACCATGACGTATGAACAAAGCCCACTCACCCTAGGACCAGGGGCGCAAGAGTGGTGGCCATTTGATTGAGGCAGACTTCCACAAATAATTCAGAACAAGCCCTTCTACCTCACTCTTCTATCTAGATTCCTCTTGAATTGCTAGTCTGGAGCCCATGAACCAAGCAGCAGCTAAAAATGGGTTGTTACTGTTTTTTTTTCTTTTTAAATTATATTTTAAGCCTTTAATCTACATGCAATATTGCAGAAATCCAATCCCTTAATTTCTCCCTATAGCCCCATCTCAATTGTATGCACTTGATGAAGCACGCTGTCATTCTAAACTCCTTTGCAGGCAGCTGCTTCCGTTTTCACACTGAGCACAATCAAGCCAAGGAAGAATACTGCCCAAACATTTTAAAGCCGGAGGGAAATAAAAGGGTTCCTTCTCTTACGACTTTTTATAGTGACTTTTTATTAAAGGCATACAATTGTCAGGAAGATTGTATGCCTTCCAGGGAAGAAAGATACTTGAAATGATTCTCAAACTGACAGGTGTCGTGGAAGAAGCCTACGTATGTCCTATACAGAAGGAGTTGCAGGATTCCAGGTGATACCACTTTGGACCACACAAAACTGTTTTAAATGCTTTTTCATGCGAAAGGAACTCATCCTCTGTATATTGAGCAAGCACTTCAGGGAGAAAGCTTTAGCACAGATAACTTTATAACAGAAAAGATTTTGTGCAGGGAAGGCTTAAAATTATTCATTCTACTCATCTGAAGCCTGGAATTGTGCAGTCCAGAATTTTACCACTTTGCTCTGCATAACTTCTGGAATGGCCTACCGTCGTGATACATTCTGGACACTTCCTCCAATGAACATTTAAAATATGACCAATTTAATGCTGATCACTTCCTATTAGCCATGGCATGCCAGCTGCCTTTCGCTGTAAAAGAAGATATAAAGCTAAAAGGTAAGGGCACTCTATTTGTTTTCTAGGTTGAGTTAAATAATTCTGGATAAGCCTTGAAATCTCACTGAGGTCTACTGGAGATGAGTTATCTTTACCTTGAAATACACACTGTATATATGATTGAGTTTCTAATATGCCTCCATGAAGATCACAAGACCTACAAGCATACAACTGCACCCTCAGATACATGGGGTTACTTGCAAATCCCAGATTGCAGGTTATGGGGCCCAGTTCAAGGAGACAGGAAATACTCTCTGTGGGGAAATATTACAGCGTGACTCATGCTTGCAAGCCATAGCCGGCCGGGGCTTGGGCACCTATTTAAAATCTGAACCATGGGCTTCAGTTCAATCAAGACGGCATCCTTGCTGCCCTCTCTCATCCGGCCAAAGCATCCTTTAATCCTGCATTATAATTCTCAGCAGCATTTCTGCATAGATTTCTGTGCATGCACACTCCATGTTAAAATCTGCACGATACAGATAGAACGTTCTGTCATTTTTACAAGGTACAGAAGGTATTTTCTTCTACAAGATGGCTAGGGCCTTCTGTAACCCTGGTCAATGAATATGGCAGCCTTCTGTGGTCCCTGATACAAACAAGGGAAATGAAAAAGGGCTCCCAGCAGAGCCAATCTGCCTGGCCTTGAAAGCCGCTCCTCCCTTTTGCCCCTGGACCTCTTTACTGCACCCACCCACCGTGCTTCCTTTTAGTACTGCAAAAAGGAAGTCTTGCGACTCTGCCACACTGAGAGGGGCTGTGGCTCTGTAGTTTACACAGCATGTGCACATGTGATACAGCAAACACTCCGACTGGCTCCTACAGTTACTCTTTTTTGTGGGAAGGCTACCAGTGTGGCATTACAAGCTCAACCTACTTAAGGAGAAGGAATGGAAGGCATGGGGAGACAGACAAAGCAGTGTGGAAAGGACCACCTTGGTTGTGTTGCACTGGGCATCCCTTCACATCTGTGCAGCGGTACACTTTACTGTGGAGAGGTCCATGCACCAACGATGGGGAAACAACCCTCCAAGCTGACAAAAAGGCAGTCTTTTAAAGCAGGCCATCAAAACCTACTCCAGGTATATGATGGAAGTGATGAGCAGAACTAAGAAAGCAACAATTGTGCGTGTACACTATGGCATCTCTGAGAGCTTTGCACACATCTTTGCACTCTGGTTTCTAAACACTCGTCTGCTTGACTGGAGACAGATACAAACTGAGTTATTGTACAGCTGGAAACCCTTTCAAACAGCATTAGGCGAACATTACTATTTTTCCCTTGTGATTTTCTAAGCAAGGAAATGAAACAAATCTTAAAGCAAAAATTGGACCAATAAAAATAATTCTGTGCATCTTGGTATGGAAAGTAAGTTTGACAGAACACCATGGACTTACTTCCAAGTAAGCATACATGGTGTAGTCCATATATATTCTGGTTACCAAAGTAAATTTATTTGTGGGGAAATGCTTTTGATAATCAGCTTGGGGAGAAGGTAAAAGGATGATTTTTTCTAAGTTCAAGTTGAATGGAACCATTTCTAAACGCATTAGTAAGATAGATGAATAGTGTTCCATGTTCCATCCTAAAGAACAACAGTGGGTTCTGACTTGCAAGAATTAGTAATCTTCCTCTGAACATCACTATATGAATGATTCATTAAAAGAATACAAATCAAAGTTTGGAAAAAAAAGATCTGGAAAGGTGAACAGACACTATATTAACAGGGTTATGGTTTGGTTGTCCGTATGAAGAGAGTGAGACTCTAGACATCTTCAACCGCCGATGGTCACAAAATCAATGACTGTTAGGGAGGCCATTGTGCCAAAATTTTGTAATTATACCTCACCTAACTTCTTACAAAATCTCATCCTGCAGCCATTCACTATTATAATATCCTAAAAATATTTACCTTGCCATACTGTCCTGAAATTCCAATGGCTATTGCATTGTACCTACCTACAAAAGAGAATTGCACAGATATCTCTGCCCAGAACTATTATTACACTCATGATGCTGCAGAGCAAACTCAGTTTATGAAGTACTGCTTTCTGGCTAATTTCCCCTTGTGATTTGGTTTTGCTATTCTTTCTATTCAAACTATGCTGCTGCCATCTTGTTTAAAACATTTCAACCCAGGTCCAATGTGGCAGCATTCAATAACCAATTTATTGCTTACCTTAAGATGCTCAAAAGGGCCACTAAATCCAAGAGTACAACTTGAATCAAAAGAGCATCTCCTCAAAATAAAGAGCAAGTTGTGCTCTGAAGGTATCCAGTGATGTGGGATAATATACAACCTCACCTTTGGGAGTGACAGTGCAATTAGAGAAGACCACCAAGGAAGAGGGAGAGTGCAAACAGAGAGTAGTTTCCAAATAATCAACAGAGTCGAGAGTTCCCATTTCCACTCTTCCCACCACAAACAAACTGTGAACCTGGGCTGGAGGTTAAGAAAGGAAGGACATTCCAGAGAATCATGCTCTATCAGATCATATCTCGCAAACACAGTTTCCCAAATGGAAAGAGAAGGGAGATCCTGGAGTGCTAACCCATGTTCGGTTTCACCAAGAAGCCATATTTGAATCTGTCTCAATTTCCACCGGAGGAAATAGGAAATAAGACCACGCAAGGACTCATCTTAGACCCAGCATCTTATGCTATGATGGTTTTCTAAAATGAACAGAAACAAACTAACAGCAGTCCATTTCTAATGACTCCACCAAAACGTCTTTGCACAAAAAGACCAGTATGCAAGCAGGGCATAGTTATCAACCACTCCTATGCAGCTTGCGTCCATTTCTGTCAGCACGGTCCTATTCGAGAAGCCTTCCCCTTTCTCACCATTCCCCAGTGGTGTGATTCCAACTACTTCCACCTATCACAAGATTCAGGTACATATATGCCACAAACGTAGACCAATCATGGCCTCCAGGCAATATTTATTTGGCAAGCTGGGGCACTGTCCATCCCAAACATCACAATGCCCTCCAAATGCATTGGATTCCAACTCCCAGAATTGTTCAGCCAGCACCGAGTTATATTCCAAGACATCTGCAGAGCACCAGGTTGGGGAAGGCAAGATGAGGGGTTTCAAAGGGAATTCTGAGCAGTTCTCTCAAACACAAGTTTCCCCGAGTCCCTCAGGCAAAATCAGGACAAGTCCATTTAAAAGTGGTTTTAAGCTAACTTGCTTAATTTGAGCAACCCAAACTACTCAACACACTCAGAAGTGACCTCCGAGGCACAAATGCTCATTGCACGGGACCAACACCCACCAATCTGGAGAGCCATAAAAGCCAATGGTGAACGAAGGTCCTGGAGATGCAACTGGGCTATGAAAGAGCTATAGAACCATGCAGTGAGTACTACAGAACAGAGCTTCTCCCACTCTGGAAGGCCTACAATTTCAAGCACCGACACATCTTCCACAAACGAAATAATGCAAAAAAGAGGTGCTTGCATCAGTCAAGCGGCCACGTGACCTGCTCTCATGCAAACAGAGGGAGAGAAAATGTGTGGCATTGCTCAAAGGGAAAAGCAAAGTATCGTTTTTAAAGAATAATGTCCGCATATCTGCAGCTTTTTCACTGTATTATTGTAATAGATTCCTGCTAAAAAGTGACAGAATATAACCAGGGAGTTTGCTTTGTTGACAACCCCCAAAAAAACAACCCCCCAAAAAAGCTGTCCAGGAAGCAGACCTTATTTTAAGGTCTGAGGTCTTGCCATTTGAAGAGGTGGAGGATATAAACATTGCTAGAACACAGAAAATACGATTCCTTCAGTGGCCCCTACATTGCTCTACAGAGGGTGAAAACCAGAAAAGGGGAAGAAATGAAGGCTTTCCGGCCAGAAAGATTTGGGGAATCCAAGACTGTGAGGCATTTTGCCAGCTTTGAAATCACAATGAAAATCAGAAGTGCTCAGCAACAGACCAGCGGGGGGGGGGGGGGGATGCCAGGGGGTTTTGGGGCTAAGGTGGGGGGGCAAGGGAAGGGGGAGTTCTCACTTCAATGCCAACCTGGTGAAGCCATTGCCTGCAATGGACCAGGCGCCAGGGAAAGTCCAAAAGCCGGCATTAAAAAAGAAGGGGGTGAGGGAGAGGGAGCGAGAGAGAATCGGATCAGATTCCAAAGCTTCATAGACTAGGCCTCCAATCATCCATGTGTTTATGCTGTGTAGACACATACAAAAAAGGAACGGAAACAGCAACCTATTTTAAAGAAGAAAGAAGGCAAGAAAGGGAGCAAGACACGAAGTTTGACTGCTCATTACGGGGCAGAGAATCGACTTTGGGGCGGAGCACGTGTATGGAGACACAGGGTCTTACTGCCCATTTTAAAGAGCGGGATCATGTGCTTTCCCTCCTGGAAATGTCCCGTTTTAGAAATCTGTTGGTCAAGTGACAATTATTAAAACGCACATTAAAAATGTGAAGGGGCCTACAGGCCAGCAACCACTGTTAAAATCTGCTAGAATATCCAGACTGATTAAGTAAAATTAATCTCTCATTCATGTGTGCGCATGTATGCGTGCGCGCGCACACACGCACACACACAAACACACTCTTCCTGAAACAGAAAACCTCCCAGAAGGAAAAACAAAGCTCCATTTGCATACTTCAATTTGAAGTAAATACTAAGAGCGCAGAAAGGGTTTTAAAAGTGGCTACTTATCTCTTCACAGACATCTCTAACATCTCTTGAAAGAGGTTTGCTGCAAATCCTGGCCTTTTCACAGCCAAAAGTGTATTTCCTCCCAAGAGGGTACATGAAGCCCATCAGATAAACGAACATATTAAAGGAAGAGCCTTGTTATGAACTCACTGCCAGCATGGTTTCAAATTGTCAAAAGCTCATTATAGTTTACACTTCTTACTGTACAAAACACTTTAAAAGATGTTTATTGGGGGAACTGTGAGTCAAAAGATGGTGCAAGAGCTTTTCTTCCATCCAGATATTTCCTTCACCTTTATCCTCAAAGTCAATCAAGGCTGCATTTCAGGAAGGTGATTACTAAAATGAACTATGGTAAGTTAACCTACAAGTCACAAAATGCAACATTAAAGATTTTTTCTTAAAATTGTAAGTTAAATTGTAATCTAAGTTGTGAACATTTAAATATAATATATACCTCCTATGAAAAGTTGGAGCACAAGTGCTTCTGTACCCCTTCCCACACTTGCCCCACCCGCCTCCCCATTCAGATTTTGGGTCCGGACAAACTTGGAATGCTTTCTTTGAACCGCCCACCCGCCGCCCCAACAAATTTGTGTATATTCAGGAAATATAAAGTCAAAAATATACAAATCTCTCATTTACTACAAGGTCTGCATGTGGATGAGGTTGTAGAACTGGGTGAAGCAGGGGAGGCCTGGAAGGGGAATCAGGGCAGAAAATGTATTGTAATTATCTTCAAAAAAGAGTTCCCAAAAAACCTGGTCACTTCATGGGGGCGGGGGACAGGGAGAGAGAGAAAAAATACTCAAAACTGCAGGACTGGTGAAAATCTGATTGCTAAAAAGTGATACTGTAGTGGAGAGTTTTCTAGGAAAAATAAAACACCTTTTAATAACTGGCCCGTTGGTATGAGCTACCGTGGAATAAATTAGCACAAAAATGGAAGTCTTATAACTGTTCACTGTTACAGACGTAATCAACAAGGTCAGTCACTCGCAAGAGTTCGTCCTCATCTTCCTCTGGCCCTACTGCCTCCTGGGCAGCACTTGTCCCATTGGGCGCCAAGCTGGCATTGGCTGTGCTGTCCTTGGGGGCGGGAGTCTTCTCACTGGGCTTGCCAATCAAGTTCTCAATAGTCTTGCCAGGACTCTGTCCATTGGTGGATGGCAAATCCACCAGGCTGTAGTCCAACGGGCTTTCCACCTTCCCCACGTTATCAAAGTCATCTTCGTCATCACTTTCTATCCGATAGCAGGACTTTTTGGGGATGTCCTGCGGGACGTGGGGTGCCGAGGGCTTGCTGGCAGGCGAGGACTGGCTGGCATCATTGTTGGCATTGCCGCAGTTGTCTTCCTCGTCTGTTTCGATCCGATTCAGACGCTTCCGGATGGGCCGCTCTTCCCCATCCCCATCTTCCACTTCTGAGTACTCGGCATCCATGCTGTGACTGCGTTTCCGAAGTGACCTCTTCGACACCTTGGCGTCTTTCTCATCTTCAGAAGTCTTAGCCGAGTAGCTTTCTGCAACAAGTATCAGACTTAAAGCCATTAGCAAATCTCAAGGCATGCAACCGCTCTTCAGTTTTTCTTTTGACACAAAACACTCCACCTGCGTCACAGAGCCAGCTGCCTCTGCTGGGAGAAAACTGGCAATTTGCTGGAGAATAAAAATGGTTGAGTACAAAGGATAACTGGTGCCCATCTGTCAACTGTCAAAGCTAAGCTGCCTATCATTCTTTTGAATCGCATCCCTTTGTGAGGAGAGTACTGCTAAGTCAATCGTATGTCGCTGTATCCTTTCCCATAAAACCTTGTGGCAGCTCTCGCAAGAAGGCTCCGGCATGTCCTGGAAATGGAAAGCCAAGGCAACAACGTTCTCTCTCAGGATGACCATGCCGTGTCTAAGAGGAGCCATGCCGGATCAGAGATAAAGGGTCTCTACTCTAGCACTCTATTCACACCGCAGGCAATCGGATGCCCCAGTGGGAAGGCAAGCAGCAGGAAATAGGCAACAGCACCATCCCACCCATGATCCCCAGCAACTGGTAGGAAAGGTGGGATGGATCATTTTACGGTTTCAGTTTCTACAGGCAAATTTTCTCAAGAAAACCCTCTTTCAGGAGATTATTAGAATCATTAGAAAAACTAGATGTGAATTTATTCTATATTGTGACATGCAAATGTTTGTGGGTCTAAGAAGCTCCGATTTATAAAAGATGTTATAGTTCCAGAGGAAGCACAGCATATACGAAAAACTGAGATTCAGACCTCATCAGGGACCCTGTGATAATCAACTGCATCATTATTTGGGCCAGTAAGAATCACAGCGCTATTCTAAGCTTATTTCTTAAGAATAACGTCTTTCAGCATTCAAAGAGAACTCATGATTGCCTAATATTTCAGACAGATGTGCAGACTGTGTCATCTGAACCTGGCAAAGGCGGTGGCGGGGGGGGGGGGGGTTACAAGCCACCCCGGAACCCATGGCTTGTTCTACAGTTGCAGAGGAGTTTATACGCAGTTCCCCTCATTCCCCACCCGAAGTTCAGACAACACAACAAACCATGCCAAGTGAATGGACCTGTGCTAATTCAGCAGTGTGTAAGGGGCAGGAAAACGAGCACAGTGGCTTATTTTCCTTCTATGATTATGCAAACTCACCCAGAGCTTATTCTCTGTGTGGTTTTTTATGTCTCTTCTTCAGCTTATTTTTCCTTCTCAATAATTTGTTCCTTCTTTATAATTTATTTTGTACCGGAGATTTAGGAATACATGAAAAAATCTAAATTAAAGGTGTGGGAAGGGAAAGAAATACCCAAGTTACACAAGAAAATGATAGAAACCATGGCCATCGCTTAACTTTTTTCTCCTGGCACTGACAACGATCCTTAGCTGTTGTTCGTTGAGGGGTCATCTGTGCATTCACACACACGGGCTCTGTGCCTGATGTGGAGAGTACGAGTATTTCATAGTCAAGAGTGATCTGGTGGGAATCTCTCCCTCACACTGGTGTTCGGTGTACATGGGAAGGGTTCCCACCCATCCCCTCAGTTCGTTCCAGAACACCTTCGGACCTTGGAACTGAGGCAGGATCATCTTAACTGACCACAGCCTCCGCTGCGCCACATCTAGGTACAGAAAAGGGGGACATTCCTCATTCTAAGAGGAATGTGAGAGTAAGAACATTTAGAATATGACACTAAAGAGGGGTCAGAGGGTGGGCTGTGTGAATGCACAGGTGATCACTCAAGGCACAACCATTGCGGGCAAGTGACCTGCCTTTCTTCTTCGTGGTCTCTGTGCACCATACATGTGAGCAACTGGCAAGCTTGGACGGTGGGTCGGTATCATTACAGGAACAGAAAAGGAGTGCTCTCCAAAGGGAACGATCTGCCTGGGCGGCTGAAGAAGCTTGGAGGGAACGGGTGGGAACGCCTCCCATGTATACCAAACGCTGAGGTGAGGGAGGGGCTCCCGCCGAAATGGTCCCGGCTACGAAATCTTTCTGACAACAGGTGCCACGCAGGCACAGAGCTCATGACTGACGCACAGAACCCACAAGGAAGAATTCCCAGATTTTCAGGGTAAACACGCCACTGACCAGCTGGTAAGATTCAGGTGGAAGATTTTTTTCCCAGGAGCTCCCTTTTTGTAACACTACTCTAAATGTGTGCCCCAGTTCATGTGCTTTCCAAGTTCACATTCGAGTGCTTCTGAAGTTCAAGTTAAAATGTCCCATGCAGCTAATAAATAAAATAAACAAAAATACATCACGGCAAGCTGCTCAGTCCCCAAACCTCAAGCCAAACAAAACTGTCATTGAGAATACCACTTAAGAGATGGAGATGGAACCTCCTACACCCAACCTTCATTATTTTATGGTAGAGTTTTAAGTTTAGAACCACACAAATATTACTTTTAGGAGTAAGAGAAAACAGCAAAGTGGAGTGTTGTCTGTACATACAGGCTTTGTAGAAAGCTAGCTGCACCCATGTTCAAAATATGGATTCCTTTCTCTGTCTCTAAGGTAAAGGTTTACTGCATTTCATTACATGGCAACATCTTTATTTTACCTTCACTGTCTGAACTGGATAGCCTGCGCTTATGAACTCTTCTCAGCTCCTTTCCATATCGGAAGCTTTTCTGAGAGCCCTCACTTTCAGAATCTTCCTTATAGTTGACTTGTCTCTTCTGATTCCGCCGAGATCTTCTCCGCCTGGTTTCCAGGTAATCCTCATCACTGAAATCTGAAGAAGCATCACTTTCTGCACAAGGAAAGAGGTGGAGTGAATAAGAAAGGAAGAAAAGCAAGCATGTCAGTTTAGTCTGGGGGGGGGGGGGATATTCATGATTTTAAAAGAGTATTCATATCCCAAACCACCCCTGAATTAATAAGGTCAATGGATGGTTGCACTCATGGTGGTTCTGTGCAGACCTGTGGTCCATTTGGCGTCCACTCTGAGTAAAGCTTTCATTGCGTTGGCTTCTCCCCTGTGGAACTTCCTGCCTGTTTTCAGTCAAGCGTTGACTCTTTTGAGGGGGAGGGTTGTTTTCGGCACCTGCTAAGGCATCGAAACACGGCTGCCTGGACTGACTCGCCCCAGTCTTATAGGCATAGTTATGAGTGTAAACATTCTGTTTTCTGATTCTTTAGCTTCCTTTTTACTGTTCACCACTTGGGAATCTAATTAGATACAGACTGGTATACAAATCCTGGACATATAAACATACAAACCAAAAATCCTTATCAGAAGGAGAAATATTTCAGGACTGCTTCTGTCTTCCCATTTGTTTTTTCCCCTGCTCCAACTGCAAATGTACTTTAAAGAAGTACCTGACAGGGAAAAGCACGTGGCAGCTGGGGTAGACAGGGGGAGCTTCTTCTAACAGCTGATTTCCAAATTTACTTCCCACAGCCCTCCCCATGGGTAGCATGTTATTCCACACTGCACATGTCAGGAGGAAGCCCCTCACGGCTGTGAGCAGAAAGGGTGAGAGTCAGCCGGGCAGCGGGGCCCAGTCGCTGGCAGGGCCGCTTCGCAGTTTCCCCACTCGCCCCCTTTTTTGCTGCTGCTTCGTTACGAAGCTTGCAGCTGGCCCATGGGATCGATCGGGCAGTCCTAGGCGAGCTGCTGCCTGCCCCAGCGCCTGCCCCTCGGCACTCCCTCAAAGCAGTAGGTGTCCTGGGGGTCCAAAGCATTTCCCCGGAAAAAATTAGCACGTTAAAGCTTGAATATGATTGTAGGGCAAATTTATTTGTTTGTTTGTTTATTAAAACATTTCTATGCCGCCCCATTCACTGAAGCCTTGGGGCGGCTCACAACATGAAGTAAAATACAAAAATAACAATGTAAAAATAACAGTATAAAATAAGTCGCCCTGGCCAAATCTGGTGCCAGCGGCCACAGCGATTCCAGCTCCAACGGCATGGATTAAAGTCGGCGCTGTTCAAACACGCTGCTGTTGGCTGAGAGAGTCCCCCAACTCGGCGCCCGCTGGAGCAGCTCTCTGGCATGCGGGCACGATGGAGGGGGAGGCGGCACTTGCCCCCTTCTCTCTGCTGCTTGCTGGAGGCAAGCACGTGCCGGCAAGCAGCAGCAAGATCGGGGGCGGGAGAGGGAATCCACCGAGGGGCACAGCCCCCACTCAGGCACCACCACCCGACGAACCCTCGCCCCACCTGCACAAAAGGGGGTCAACAGAGGGGGGACCTGGCTGGGGCACAGTTCCAGACTGGGTGCCGCCGTCCAGTTGTTCCATGCTCTTCCCACTCACAAGCAAGAAGGGCAGCACTGAGTGCCACCTGAATGATCGCTTGTATCTGCCCCACAGGAGATCTTTAGGGCAAGCGTTTGGCAGAGAAGGCACCCCACTGACATGTTCACTCTCCGGCTGGCCACACGGCAAGAGCGGCCAAGCAGCTCTATGGCGCAGGCCTTGGTACCACAATGAGTTGAGTTCACAGGTCCGGACAGCACAAGGAGTCACCATGGTACCAAGACAGCATAGAACAAACCACTGTTTCTGTTCATGGCTTTTAAAAACAAAGCGGATCACGCTGAACACCACCATGTGTGCAAAGAGCCACCTTTGCTTGTTGCGTCATGTGACTCCACCCAGGCTGTCGCCAGAGGCAGGGAGGCAAGCCCATCTCTGTCCACCCTCTGCCGGAGCAGGGGACTGAGGCCTCTGGATGCAGACCCACATGGCTGGGGACATTCCTCCAGGATCAAGTGCTTCCTGCGGTGCACTGGGCCGCTTTTTGTCTCCCAAGGCCAAAAGCATCACTTCAGCTGTGCCCAGAACTGGTCTGTTGGTTTCCAAATGGGTGAGACACACTCTGGGTGCCTGTCTATTGACAGCCTAGTTTCAGCATGCTTCCAAACCGTTTTCCCGAGCAGCCCCATGTATTACAGTAATCCGAACTGTAACCTCACATAAAGCATCAACTGATGAGGTCATCACTGGAGGAGCAGGTCTGGGGCTACTGGGGAGCAGCCCTACACAAAAATGGGATTCTGCCCAAGGGGTCTACCTGGGGGTCCCCACTTACCGGAGTCACCAGTTACGTTATCTTCAGACTCCTCCTCTTCATCATCTTCTGAGTATCTTTTCTTGACTGTTTTCCTCCGAAGCCGTCGGCTCTGCCTCATTGGCCGAGAATGATGTCTCCGGGGCCTACGCCTGGAAAACTCCGTATCGCTGTCATTTGATTGCTGATCCTCTTCACTTTCATCCAGGTTGTCGTCGGAGACAATAAACTCATCCTGAGACCTGCAAGGACAAAGATTAGCAGGGAAGTCCTTTGGAGGGAGATCATTTAGATCAGCAGCAAACTTACCTTGACTTGAGACTTGCATAGAACTGAGAAGCTGCTGACGTGAGGAGCAGTGTCACTAAAGAAGATTGTTATGGATTTTCAGTAGCTTGATGAGTTTTCATCTCCTAGTAGGTTCTCACACTAACTCTCAGTGTTGCAAGTTTCACAGCAGCTGTTCCCAACTGCTGCCCTGCAGAAGCGTTGGACTACAATTCCCAGCATCAGCCAGCTAGCCAGCCAGCCTGGTGGCTGCTGGTTTTTCAACAGCAGGTCCTCAGCCCCAGTTCAAATCTGCTATTTCTGATGCAGCAAAGCCGTGTGTGGCTATAAAGTCAAAATTCACGCAGGGAGACCCTGGAGATCTGAAAACTCCACAACAAACCTCATAACTCACAGGCAGAGCTTATACACCAGGGATACTGCAAGGCCACAAACGTGCCCCACAGCAGCAGACCCCAAAAGAAAGGGATCAGGGCCAGCCACACGTGACTCCAACACATACAGTGTTCCTGCGAGGGCACCACTTCAGAGTCCAGGTGTGAGACTGCAGATCTAAACACACACACAAAGGCAGTTCAGTGTTCCTGAACTGGGCAAATGAGAAAGACGAGGCCCCTGTCTTCTTACATGCAAGATTTCTAAGAACAGGGCAAGCACACATCCTTCCTCCATTTGCAGCTGAAGTGCCCCAGTGCAGAAAGGGCAGTCCCAAGGATTAATTCTGAATATCGGGCTTTTCTGGATTGCACCTATGACCTTCTGGCACTTCTCCGAATCCACCCTGTCCCTGGAAGCAATTAGCAGCAGCTCACCTCTGAACTAAAAACCACTGGAAATAACAGTGCTCCGCCTGGCATGATGCGCACCCCACACTTGCGGGGGAACTCACCCGTCACTGATCCTGAACTCGTCCTCGCTCTCTTCCTCATCCAGGTTGCTGTCACTGTCCAGGTCGTTCAGTCGCCGCCGTTTCTTGCGACGAACTGCCGCAGCCCTTGGAGGCCTCTTGCTCTCCTTCCTTTCTTCCTCCAGGATGGTGGAAATATCCTTGCCTCGATGCCCTGTGATGTTAGCCATATCTTTCCCTCTTCCACCACCTACATTCAGGGAAATCAAGACAGTGGCGATGGTCAGTTTGCTTCCCTTCTGCCACCTCCATTCTCCAATCTAAGAAAGGTGTTTCAAGATCAGGGCAAAACATGCATGCATCTGTTAACAGACAGAGTGGGTCATCTCTGCTCCCCCGCGGTTCAATTTTTTAACTTTTTTTTTAAAAAAGCTGGAAATGTAAGCAGATGAGGTTAGGGAAACAAAGCCCAGGTCCTTTATTTACTCCTCCTTTACTATGCCCTGTCTTCAGAGAGCTCAGACAACTACAAGGTCCACCACCCGCCACCATTATCCTCAACGCTGCTGTGGAGGAAAGTGGGCTGAATCCAAACAGCTGAGAAGTCTGGCAAGAGAGGGAAAGCCAAATTCTACTGTGCTCTCACACTGCGCAAGCAAACAAAGCACACCCTGTAGTTCTCCTGCACTTGCATAAACTGGCAGAAAATCCAGTGTCCTCAGCACCCATATGGTACCCCCTGCCCTTTCCATTTTCTCAACCCTGTCCAAAGGACACACCTCCTCCATCAGCCTCCTTGATGTCATCTTCTATTGCTTCATCAATGGCTTCGTCAAACTCATCAAATCTAAAAATACAAAATTTACTCATTTTAGTATGCATTCAATTATGTTTCAAGAGATAAGCCAGAAAACATACAGTGACTGAAGAGTCAAAAGCCATCTGCAGCTTGTACCAAACCACCAGAAACTGATCATGTTAACCAGCTGAAATTAATATGTTTGCTTTCATATATGCCTCCCACTAGTCCTCATTTCTGAAAAGAAAAATAATTTAGGCATACATGCAGGGGATTTCATTCATATTGTTTCGTATCAGTTTATGGGCTTTCTTCATGCTAAGGAAGTAACTGGGATCAAAATTGCACAATACAGAAAACCAACTGATGTTGGCAGGGGGAAGTGGGCTGAGAACTGGTACCTCACGTTCCTGGAGAGACTGCCCACCAATCTGAATTTTATTTGCCTCTTCTATGTTCCCAGATTTCCTTTATTTGCACAACCCCACCGATGTTTCTAAAAAGGGACAGACATACAGCGCTGCAGGCCCTCCAGCATTCCTTCTTACGATTCCTATCAGGGCAAAAAGAATTCCTGGGAAGTTCATTAAAGTGCTGCTTAGTCCTTCTTCCTTCTTCTAACTTGGTTAAAAAAAAAATTAATGTTCCGAGCTACCTTTTTTCTCAACTGCAGGTGACCTCTCATGCGTCTTTACACTGAAAAGGGCAGTATTCATTTCCAGCTACACCCACATGCTATTTCCTCCCTCTTATCCCATCCAAAAGGAAGGCCAGCTGTTCTATTTGGATGCTTCTGCAGCAACCCATCACTGTAGACTGAGGAGGGAGAGACAAACATGTAGTTAGAACTTGTTTTATTCACAGCTTGAGGCAAGAAGAGGTCCATTTTAGTTTGCAGATTTTATAGTTCAAGCATCACTTAACAGTAGCTGAAATCATCTGGAGAGATGCACAAAGGCAGACGCAGCCAAAGAGGGTGCATTTCACAGTGCTGCTGTCGAGCAGAATACACTTCAAGTGTGATTTTAACTAACAAGCAATGACCCTTTCAAACTGCTATGTTTGCAGAACAGTCTAATCCCCCCTGGAGAACAGTCCTGAGGCTAGAGGGAGGTTCTGTGGGATAATCAGTCTGCCTCCTCTGTCAGGGACATGACAACTTCCCCATAAAACTGAGCATACAGTTCGCTGTTTCGTACCAGTTTCCCACATAAGGAGAGGCTTCCAGCTTACTCCAGTATGTGCAATTAATTAAGATTATACGACGCACCACAGAAACAGCCTCAACTCGCTTTCACACAGAGTTCAACTTGATAGAAGGGGCTGTTGGTGTATACCACCCAGCTTTCTTGCTTGCTCGTGCTTAAAAACCGCCAACAACAGAAGCAAAGCAGAACTCAAGATCTTTTACAGTGGTACCTTTGCTCACGAACTTAATCCGTTCCAGGACTCTGGTCGTGACCCAAGTTGATCATGAACCAAGTTAAATTTCCCCATAAGGTTCAATGTAAATAAGGTTAATCCGTTCTGTAACTATTTTTTTAAATCAGAAAAATGTGAAGCAAGTGACAAAGAACAAAAAAGATCGCAGCCATCTCCCCCCCCCCCACCCCAAGCACGAGCGTGGCCATCTCCCCGGCCCCCCAGCACGACTACGATCGCGCCCATCATCCCTGCATGCGCCCGTCATCCTGGCACGCTGGGGGGAAGATGGGAGTGATAGTGGGTGCACTGCGGGGAGAGACAGGCACAAACGTGGGCACGCTGGGGGGGAGTTGGCCAAGATCGCGGCTGCACTTGTGCTGGAAAGAGGGCGTGATCTTGGCCATCTCCCCCCACTCCCAGCACAATCATGGCCATCTCCCCACTCGGGGCGGGGGGGGATGGCTGCGATCGTGGTTGCCACCCAATGCACAGTTCACGACCTAAGGAAATTTTTTAATGAAAATTTTCTTCGCGACCCAATTTGGTTGTGAACTGAGGCGTTCGTGAGCCGAGGTACCACTGTATTTACATAAAAACGTGTTTAAGAACACCCAACGGCTGTTTTTAAGAACTGCATCCCCAAGCAGATTCCACTGTGGCCCTCTCACCAGATTCTGGGTACTGATATGGGGAAACACAGTAGCTTCTCTGCTCAAAATCACAGCTTCTTGAGGTGGCTTTTTATTTAAGAAAGGAAAAGGGAACAGCAGACCTCTGCTGCACGCATTTGTGTACGATATGGTTAACCTCACAAGGAACTTAAACATGCCAACTCCACGTAAGAAAGAGTAAACGGCTAATGGTTTCACAGGTCCCTGCAGCATCCTGCAACAGCACATTCCATTTTAGAAAGCACAAAGCGGGAAAGTTCTGCAGGTAGGAGAGGGATTCCTCACACCTTTGTAGAAACACTCTGCATGTAAAACTGCAGAAACTGTCCACGTCCCATCATGCCACTGGGAAATGTCTCTGCCAGTAGATATGGGGGTGTTGGACCCCAGGGCTGTGGGCACCCCAGGGTTCCTCAGATGGCCACCCACCCTTCCCCTAACCACCAATCCTTTGGTGGTTTCCCAACTTTTCATGGTTCTCTTCCTCTGTTCTAAAACATTTAAGTGCCCCTCCTAAAACCAAGTTACTAGCAGCAACAGCCTTAGGCTAAAACAGGCTGGTATCTCTTTGATTTCTGGCCCTGTTGCTTTTTCCGTCATGTCACCCTCCACCAATCAGCACCATGGAAATGTGGCTCTCATGCACTTTTCCAAAATGGAATTCAGCTCTCAGGCTGAAAGGCATTCCACCCCTTTATAAAAAGGAAGCACACAACTGCCCCTTGCAGCCAATTGGCCTGCTCTGCCCAAATGGTCACTTTGAGAGTGGAGGCAGGCTGCCCAGAACTGGCTGGGATGACGTGTGCCCTTGATCTGAGCCCAGTGCTGTTGTCTATTTCTCCTTCCACCGCTGAAGCACGCGTGGGCCTGGGCAGGCTGCGCCTTTCTCCTAAGCCCAAGTTCAACCCCCAGCGCTTCAAGGATGAAGCAGCCTGAGCTGAGGCCATCCCTCCCTTCCAGGCTCAGACCTTTGAGGCACATTGTTTACACCCATTCAGAGGAAACAAAGAAGTCACTTACCTGTAGCTGATGCACTTCCGTTGCCTGGTTGATCTCCTTTCAAGCAGCTTTGCCTTTGATTTTTTGGAATCTTTCTTCTTTTCATCCACCCCTTCAGGTATTTCAGGCTCCTGTTTAAAGGCAGGCAATTATTAAGCACAGCAGCAAGTACAGCTGAGGTAAAAGCCTCCTTCTGGAGTTGGAATGTATAAACTCCCCATTTTACTCAGAAACCCTCGGTTCTGCAATTCCGTAGCCCAACCTCTGGCTGGAGTCGAACTATTATTAAAACGGGTACTTCTCACAAATGACCTGCTTGTCTAAAACTGGGCTGCATCAAATTTCAGTCCCACTTAATTCCCATCAATTTCAATGAGCCTACCCTAAGTAGGACTAACAGTGGGTACAACCCAGGAAGTGTTAGGATGGAAAGACTAAAAATAATGGCAAATTTGTAACAGAGGCAAAGCCACACTCTTAAAAATCACATGCAGAAGGCAAAGGCAGAGGGAAGGGGCGAGAGAGAGACACAGATGACACCGAGTTTCAGGGAGCCAAACTTTAATGCTGCACATCATTCCTTGCCCTTCCCCATCAGAAGCGGACAGTAAAATGAGCAGATGTATGCAAATTGCCTGATTTGTTCGATTTATGTATATCACGGATTCCACTTTTCTTGGGGCAGAATTGTGATTGCTCCCCGCACTACGTACATCCAAGCCCAGTCGCTATACCAAAAAGCAAAATGAAAGTAAGAATGATCTCAGCGGGTCTATGTCACTTACCCGTGGAGGAATGATGTTCTCAATGCTAATACCCACGTACACAAGGCGTTCCTTCCTTGAAGAGAAAGAGAGGCACAAAAGAGCTGACATTTCTTCGCAATCTCTGCAGATTCCCTGCACCACTGTGCCCCTTTACTTTAAGCCAGCCTTTCTGTGTCAGGCTTTTTAAACAGCTGCCTCCCATGGCAAGCTCGTGCAACCATGGCACTGAAAGGTTTTCAGACTGGCTTGGCACGGACTATGATTAGCAAAACAGCAGCAGGGCAAGAGGCATGCCGACCTGGTCAGTTCTGAAATGAGACAGAATGGTGTGGGGGCACGGCAGGGTGTGGGGAGGCCTCAAGAACTGATGCAGCTTTGCCACCAGCCTATCCTATTGTTAGCTAACTGGCCAGTACAACCTGAGCATCAGACTTTCATAGATTATGCTCTCATAGAATCATACAGTTGGAAGGGGCCCAGCAGGCCATCAAGTCCAACGACCTGCTCAATGCAGGACTCAAGTCACCCATCCAGATTTCAACCCAGCCCAACCGTGCTTAGCTTCCAAGATTAGGCAGACTCGACAGACATGGAATCATCTCCGGGCTGAGCAGATTCTGGCCCCGCCCCCTCGCAGTCTCCTTACACCTGCTAATGGAAAACATCTACCTCTTGCCTTTCAAATGAAACTTCAAGGCAGCTAACAAAACTTCAAGGCAGTAGTGAAAAAACATAATAAAACACAATGGTGTTTTAAATTACTAGTTTTAAATGCAGAACTTTGCTGGCGAAGGACTCGTGTGTCACCTTTTTGTCTGAAGTACTGTTATCTACCTTGGTCTGCTTAGGTCAGGATACAGAAACATAATAAAACAGCTATCCATGATCTCTTGTAATACAGGGATGGCTGAAGGGAACATATGAACCAATTTCTATGCAAGCTTAAGGCCATGAAATTAAAGACTGAACTACAGCTCTTGAAATCCTGAGCCTCAGGCGTCAAATGCAGGCAACCAACACTTAACTGTTCAGTTCAAATTAACTATGCAGTGACAAGATGGTTCCTGACCTCCAAGGAAAGGACAAAGGGGCCTGCTGAGGCTGCTGGTACCAGGTACCGCCTTTCACGCGACAGTTTCCACATTAGCACAAAAGAACTTGGGGTGAGCTGTGCTCAAGTGCCAGGCTGCACTTTCAGCCTCCGCACCCCTAAGAACAGACATTACAGCTGGCCTTCAGGGAGCCACAGAATGACACCGGCCTCAGGACAGCAAACCGTCTCTCCTGAGCAATCTTATGAGGGAGCCACAACATTACCAGACGCGCAGGCACATGTAAGGAAGGCCTGGGACAGCTGGTGTCCCCTTCCTGCAGTTCCCCTCAATTGTTCCCTTCCTGCAGTTACTAAGCCTTCCCCACCCTACAACCTATAAACGTCAGTGCAACTCCGACAGAAGACATTAGCCCTCAAGATAGGGCTCCCACACTCCCCCTCACTCAGTCTCACTGCCACTGCCCCCCCCTTCACTTCTCTGTGGCCCATGTTATAAGGCCGTGATGACCAACTCCGACAACCTTGAGGGGGCGGCGCTATCTTCCAGACACTAACGGAGGGCTGGAACAATCCAACTCCCTCAAGTCAGTCTCTGTGATATTATTGATGTAACCAGCAGGAAGGGCTGTGGAGACCCAAAGGACAAGCGCTGGGACAGCATAAAGTCATCAGCTGAGCCGAGGAATTCGCAAGCCTCAAGAAGCGGATGGCAGTGAAACACTGAGGGAGGCTTCTGCCGAAGCAGCAGAGCCAGGCTGGACTCACAGACGCTCTCAGCAAACGGAAGGGGACCCAAAGAGAACAGTTTTCCCAACTGCTCCTACCCCCAGAAGCCTCCATGTCGTTCAGGGACCCCAGAACCCTCAGGAGCGACACAACAGGCAATGGGGAATGGGGGGGGTCCGTGGAAACTGCCTGCCCCCCTTTTGGGAGCAAGAGCATTTTATGAGCAGAGACCCACTCATGCACCACTGGAGCCAATCCACAACTTTTAAACCACTCGGCCCAAACTTTGGCAGGCAGGTCCCTCAGGCTGCATCAAGGGGAAGCACTACCAGCTGACCACCCCAGTTCTAAGGGAATACCAAATCCCCCAGTCTCTAGGTTACGCCGCATGGCCTGGCCTGGCCTGACACCATACTGCACTTCCATAATCAACCCTTATTTTGTTATTATAAGGATGACAGTTTACCTTTGTACTCTGTTTTCTACCTTCCAAGGTTTTTTTGAGATCAAAACATAAGATATGGACGACATGGTTGAAGATATGGACATGCCTCACTCTTTATGTAATTCCAAAGGAGACATAGATTTGTTTTTACGAGTTTTTCCAGGGGATTTTGGGGAGTGCTTATCCTTTGGCCAAAGATACCTTCGTTCTGCACGTTCTTTCTTTTTCAAGATGACATCCAGGTCCTGCAGCTGTTCTTCTAACTTCTCGCAGAGTAATTTCTATGGGGATAAGCCAAAACAAAGCATTCGTATTCATGCCACAAACACCTTGACACAATTTCTTAACAGGGCCTTCCTCGATATGAAGGCCACTTTGGCTAGCAAAGGCTTGGTGGCTGCCCAGGCCTTAAGCAGTAGCAGAAAGGCTGAAGCAAAGAAACGAAGCCACTTTGCAAAGCTCATGTAAGATGTGGGGTGATGCCCATTGGGATGTCCATGGCATGCCCTGTTGAGTTCAAATGTATTCCTCAAGTTGCATTTCAGCCATCAAGGTATTATCTTCAGAAATCCCACCTATTCTATGGGTGTGACCAATTAGATGGGCAGAAGTAAAGGTTTCACAATACAAGGTGTGAATGTCAGAAGGTAAGATTTGTTAAGTGGCAGGGGACTATCTGCGGACTAAAGGATGATGGTTCAGAACTGACAAAAGCCCTGAGAAGTTGTTTAACTGACGGTTCAAGGGACTCAAAACAGGTAACGCCACTAAAGCACATCTCATCACTGGTGAACTGGGAGCTAGTCAGCATTACATGAGCCTTTAAGAAGGACTCAGAGGATTAATCCAGGAATTAACAGATGTGTATGCCCTGGACAACTTGGTGGGAAGTATTACCATTAGTTCTGCTAAACAAATAGAACAGCAAACCTTGCTGAGGAAGGACCCAGCATGGCTCCTGAAAGCAGAAGCCTGGCCTCACCAACCTTTTAGGATTCTTTAGGGTGCCAACACACCTGCTGAAGGAGGCGATCCCTGTGGCCACCGTACACTTGGGTTCTCAAAAGGCTTTTGCTAAAGTACCTCACCAAAGGCTCATAAGGAGACTTAGCAGTCAAGTGAAAGGGGTATATTTGCTCTTACAGATCAGTAACTGGTTAAAAGAAAGGAAACAGAAGGGAAGAATAACTGGAGAGTGTTCAAAATGGAAGAAAATCAACAGCAGGACTACTTGCTAATATTTACCCAAAGCAGTGGTGTTTAAATGAGGAAAAAATGAAGTGGAGTCCAGATAACATAAAATTGGCCTTATTTGCGTTTACCTAGTACTGCACAAACCCCTATGTGCTGTGAAGAGATTTTTTGAAAAAGTTTTTCCTAAGTTGGATGGACAGGTACTTAAGCAACAGAACGGTTGATGAAATTCAGAGTAAATAAATTCAAAGCCATACTTATTTCGGCAAAAATTATTCCGAGATTCCAATTAATGATCGTCCCTTTCCACCCAGCCCCAATTTTGGTGGATTCTTCACAATGGAAGGCTCAGGAGATGGTGAACTATTCTTTGTTAGAGGATTTTAAACAGGGGCTAAACGCCCACCTATCAGGCATGCCATACCAGTGGATTTCCTTCCAGGTAGCTATTATTTTAATAAGCAATTAAAACATTTTAGATGAGTGACCATATACTATTATGCTTCAAAATATTACGAAAACAGGTGGCTGGAGGAAATACGAAAGCAATTTAATGCTGGGAGGTCCAGCAATACTGGTCAGAGGTTGGTTTTGAGGAACTGAAGATACACATTGATCGGGGCCAATTTTGCTTCCCCTTCCATTCCTAGCAAGGAAATGATGATATACTGGGGGGGAAAATCCAGAAAAAAAATAAAATAATCATGCAGGTTTGCTCAGTTTGACTCACTTCTACAGGTCACAAGGGGAACCTCCACCGTTTTTGAATGTGTGCACGCATCTGGGAATTTGTGAAGCTGCTCTGGGCACTACCAAAGAATGACTCCCATGGAAGATATGGCTAGTCACAGGGCGATTGCAGTGGGCTTCTGGCTAGTCAAAAGACATGCAATTTGCCCAAACACTCAAATACAAGAGGGAGCGTCTGAACTCCAAAGCCATCCACATATTTGACCTACAGAAGCAATTTATTTATGGTGAATTAAACGCTATCCCTCTAGGATTGTACGTGTGTTTCACAAACCCCCCACCATGCCCGTTTCCCAGATTTTGCTGTAACAGGTATAAAGGCCAATGTGCAAACTGAAATCGTAATCTCAAAGCGACGGGAGACATCAAGGGAGCAGGCCTTTTCAAAGCCAGACCACCACCTGGGGTCTGAATGAGGAAGCGCGTAAATGGAAGGCTGCCTACGTGTTGGCAAGGTGGGCAGTACCACTCCCCGTCAGGAATGATCATCAGCGGGGGCCGAAGGCATGCCGTGTGGTAGCCGCTGTCGCAGGAATCACACAGGAGAATCTGCAGAAATGAAGCAAAATGTCAATGAGATGCCTGCATCGTAAAACGTATTAGTGTGCATCTCGCTTTCATGTGTGAGCACCCGACATTTGAAGTGGGAGTGATCCATGGAAGACACTTAAGCGGGCAAAGTGCCATTTCTGCTGAAAAACACAGGGACGTGACCCAGTCAAAATTAAACCCTTTTAAATGGAATTAAATTGAAATAGCATTTTACGTTACATCCTGTTAATTCAATGGAAAAGCAATGGACATCAGTGGGGCCTAAAAGGCAATTAATCGGAGAGAAGAGTTTTTCCTTGACACACATTGAAAAAGCATCTTTCTTAGCAGGAAAATTTCTTATCTCCGATTAGCTGCTGATCAGATACAAGAGCTCTTCCTTTCCCGGAAAAGCAGCAGGGACTATGGAAGAAAATGCTGGTTCAGTTACTTCTAAGTAGACACACTGCTCATGATTATTTCTGAGGAGACATGCAGAGACTTGCTATCTAGAAGTGTTTGTGATTCCATCGTGCTTGCTCCTAAGTAAACATACATAAGCTTGCCCTGCATATTTCTCAGTAGGCTTAAAATTGGGAAGAATCACAGTTTGGACTGTCCCCTCTGCTCCTGGTTCCACCCTCAGGGGAAACCCAGCCTCTGAAAATGCTCTCACAGTAGAATTCAGGCCTTGCAGTGAAAATGTTCCCCACGCCTGGCTGAAATTTTCTTGACAGACTGCTAACAGGATAAAAGGGGGGAATTTTGTACACTGCCTTGAGCCCCGCAGAAAGGTTGAATAAAGATTTCATAAACACAAATGGAATACTTTGGAGTCCTCTCCCCAGTTTAAGGGTTGTGCATGTACAACAGGCAGTCTATGAATCGGAACTGCTTATCTGCTTTAAACTTTCCACCCACTCAGCTGTCAGTTTCATCCAAATCCTGCCTTCAAAGTGAAGCAGCCTGTGAAAACAGACTGACGGCCATAGCTGCAGGTCACCGATACAGGCTTCACGCTGAAGCCTGTTTTACATACACATCTCCTTCAAACCATGGTTCCTGATTCTGCAATAGCAGCGGTTCACAAACTATCATGGCCGATTCAGACACCACACCAAATTGCAGTTACGCCTCCTTTAGCCTCAGTCTGGAATGATATCCGGGTTCAGGGGCATCTCTGTGAGGTGCGTGCAATTGGCTTTTCTAATTCCACCCTTCTTGAAGACGAGAACCTACTAGCTCTGGGTGGTTAGGGAGGCCACACTTCTTGCATGGCTCATCATCGTCAGCAGGTGCAGGTTCTTCCTCCTCCTCCTCCTCCTCCTGCTCCTCTTCTTCCTCTTCCTCGGAGCCTTCTCCACTTTCTGAGCCCTCACTCTCATCGTTGCTTGAGTACCTCCACCTGCCTCGAGTCCTAGTACCAGCCCATCGAACTTTACTTCGCTGCGAAGCCTAGAAATCCAGCGATAAGGAAGACTTGACTGTCTCAATATTTGGGAAAAGTGTACATAAAATCATGAGTGTTTCAGATAAATTACTTCCATGTTGCACAATATGTTCTGCCAATTTACATTTGACTGGCAAAAAGCAAAATCCACATTCAGTTTATATAATGTGCTTTAGGAATGGCAATGTTTGTATTTCAACATAATGTTAAACCATGATTTAGTGTCACTAGCGGCAGTAATGCTGGGCCTTCATATTCCCCCCCCCCACCACCCCCCACAAGGGGGAAGCAGAAAGTGTCTGCTTTCATTTTAGATTAACTTCTGTTCCGCACATCATCCAAGTCCTAAACGGTGGTTAATCTTAAGTATAATTTGTTAAACCAAGGCAGATTTATAGCATAGGAAGCTGGCTTGTTTCAACAAACCATAGTTACGATTAAACACAATTTGTCTAAGTTAGCCACTAGGAGAGGCTGTGGTTGATCTAAAACATAAGCAAGTCCCTCTAGTTCCCTCCTTGCGGCTGCACCAGAGGAACCCCAGTGAAAGAAGTGTGTAGCAATCCAAGTCCAGGCATTAGAAGAGGACGAAAACAGGTTCGGTGTTCCTAGCTGAAAGTTTCTATCTTTTTTTCAGCCTAGACTAAGAACAAGGAAAACCTTGCATGAATCAGGTTGAACCAACTGGACAGATCAAACAACTGACAGTCCACAGTGGAGGCAGGAGAAAAATGAACTTTAGGGAAGAATTGGAAGGTACCTCTTAATTCGGTTGTTGGCTGAGCCATTTTCCCATCAAAAGTCTGCCTCTTTCTTAGTGAACAGAGACGCGCTTAGTCTATATTGGCCCACTGGAGTGTGGCTGACAGAACGGACAGGATCTCTGTGACTCGTTCCTAGAACGGAACTGGCTAAACTCTTCTCTGATCAGGCAGGGGTAATCAAGTGAGCGTAATCAAGCCATCACAGAATACCAGACTTCGAAGGGGCCACTAAGGCCCTCAAGTCCAACGCCCTGCTCAGCGCAGGACTCCAGGTTAAAGCATTCCCAACAGATGCCTGTCCAGCTGTCTCTTGAATGTCTCCCCCCAACGTGGGAGAGCCTATGACCTCCCTAAGCAATCGGATCCATTGCCATACTGCTCTAAGCGTCACCTGACCAGCCTCACAAAGATCCAGAGCGCATGTCAGAACAAGCTTTTCCACACTGCTGCCCCAGGGAAATGTCACATGCTGACAACGGGCTCAGAGGCCCTGGAGCTTGACCCACAGGATGCATGAGCACAGGAGATACGACAGGAAACCTGTCTGAGCCACCATCTAAGTCTGGCTTAACTCTGCATCTACCTGTCCCGAGAGCTACAGTTTATGGGGCAGTACAGAAATGAAGGTGATGAGGACTGATGACGACAATGATGTTGAAAAAACTCGCGCACGCCTCTCTTGTGGGTGAAGCCGTGCGCTTGCGGCAGCAGGTACCATGTTAGATGAGGCGTCCCTCATTCGTTCAAGGTTCCCTCATTTAAAAAGCCGATTGCCACATGTAGTTTTTAATGAAAGATTGCGTTTTAAAAATTAATGCCAAAACCACCTGACCAACTAATCAGGGCTATCTTCTCAGTGAGTAAGGATATTTTTAACTGACCAATCAAACTAATTAACTATCAGAATTAGGGGTGGGCAGACTCCAGACTTGCTGGATGCAGTTTGTTCTTTACCGGACCACCAAGATCCACCACCCAGAATCGGATGCAGAAGATACACCATTAAAGAATGCTGGGAGAGGAAGTTGTTTCGAGGGCCAGAACTAAAAAGTACTTCCACAGAAAAATCCTTTCCTGGTTACCCAAAGCTGCTGGGTACCCCTTGCCAACCTACTGCAAATCAACCGGCTGTACCTTTTGTCCACCCCTGCTGAAAATGTTGCCTTTTCATCTTTCTTCCATCTTCCTGTGGCTTTTACTGCATCACCACCAAAAACATTATCATTTACTTTAAAGAGGCTATTGGAGTATCTGAGGATAAGTACATGAAGCCCTTCCTTTAGGTCAGGGGTGGGCAATTAATTTTCCTATAGGGCCACATGGGAAACTTTGACAGTTGTTAAGAGCCAGACCAATACACTTACAGCTCTGCTCAATATATCTCTCTATAAAAACAGTAAATGAAACACTACAATGATACAACGAAAATGTGGAGCACAGAACAACACTATTTAACCTTAATTTAGCAGATCCTTCAAAATAAAAGCAGTGCAGTTGTATTGCTTGCATCTGTATTACGACTATATATTTGCATTGACTTTTAATTTGCCGGTGACCTCATGCGGGCCAGTCAGGGTCAGCCATCGGGCCGGATGTGGCCCACGGGCCGTACAATGCCCAGGTCTGCCCTAGGTGGTTACCACTGTTCAGATGGCAGAAGATCCAGCCCCTTGCATGGCTCGCTAGGGACACAGGAAGCCATTTTATACCGAGACAGACACTTGCTCTAGCTAGCCCAGACTCTGACGTAGTGACTGACAACAGCCCACCGTGGTTTCAGTCAGGAGTTTCTTTTCTGCTCGCACAGAACAACATCAACCTAGAAATGCCAGGGACTGATCTGGGAATTGCTGCATGCACTGAGCTATACCCTTCGACTGCCTCTGTGCTTCTGCTGTCCCACTTTTTCTCCATGACTTCTATGCCATGTTTCATTACTCATACCTCTCCTACCTCCAAACAGCACATTTTGTGCTAAAAAGCTCAAAAACCTGTAAAATGTCAAATACTGGGGTACAGAGTGAGGATTGCAACTTAACTATTTGATGAAAACTTGCCCCAATTTGTAGACATTGGTGCAACTGACAGTGTGTGCAGAGAAAACTGGTAGAAACTGAGTTGTCTTAACACAGCTTGGGGTGTCAAAAAACACTGGCAACTACTCTAATCTTGTAAATGCAAGGCAACTTTCATTGAAGTATGTACCTTGCTGGCCTTAGAATTCATCTCTTTCTCTTGCTTTTTTGAGTCGTCCTTCTTGTCCTGCTTTTGCACTGGAGCTGGTTTCTCTTCCTCTTCCTCGTTCCGCTTTTTCTCGGGTTTCTGGTCCCGGGTCTCCACGATCTTGGGAGTAGGCTTAGATATCCGGGGAGACCTCCTTAAAATACGGCCAACGCTGACCACCTCCTCCTTTTCAGCTCCTGCAGTCTGAGTCTTCAGAGGAGGATCGGTTTTCTTCCGACTCGAGATTCTGATTGTGAGCTTAATTCCCTCTTTCTGCCTCTCAGAGGTTATTTCCCTGTTCTCAGTTAGAGAACTTTCTTCTTCAGAAATCAACTTATATTTACACTTGCTTTTTACAGGGTCTTTTCTGCTCTCTGGAGGCTCCTCCACAGAACTTGGGGCACTGCCTGATTTTGGAGTCTCCCTCTCTTCAGCTTGTGACTCTTTTTGCAGCTTAGAATTCTGCTCCTCGTTCACCTTGCTTTTATCAGGGAGTGTGCCTTTAGGGTCAGAGTCCTCTTTCTCAGTCACAGGTTTCTCAGGAAGAAGGGCTGAGGCAGGTGGCAGAGTAGCAGCTACTCTGGGCAAATCTGCTTTCTCCTCTGGCTGGCTTTGATTTTTCAAATCCATGTCGTCTGATGGAGTAACCGAGTCCTTTGGAGAAGAAGATGTAAAGGATTTATCCAGACATTCTTTGGGTGAGGACAGGCTACCTTTTGCTTTAACAGGTTCTTCAGTCTTCATGACACACTCACTGGGTTTTGAAGGTGCCTCTGCCATGGCCTCTGAACTGTTACTTTCTGGGAGGGCTTCCTTTCTGTTAGAACCAGTTTCTTCCTTTAAAGGCACTTTCTGATGAGAAACTTCAGCTATTGCAGCTGCTACCTCCTTCCCTGTATGCAAAATATTTCTCTCAACATCACTTGTCCGTACGATCATACTGACTGTCTCCAGGGTTTTCTCCCCACTCGTGCCATTTTTCTCCTTGGCCAGCACAGAGTGGTCTTCCTTTGAGCTGGAGGAATGTTCTAACTTGTTATTTGGCATGATTTTCTCACTGCTAACCTCCCCATTCACAAGGAATTTCCCATCAGTAATTGTAGGAACTCTCTTAAACATCTCCTCTTCTTGTTTCCCTTCCTCCTTCAAAACATCCTTCGTCGGTGTAATGCATTTGCGCAAGGGTCCTTTTAATGGGCTGTCATAATCATCAGTCATTTTAATCTCTCGCTTTTTCAGTGGAATCTTGGCCTGCTGGTCGTTTTTAAGTTTCTCACTTTCTTCTGCAGTTCTCTCCACGACTTCCTGGGGAGTTTTGACACAGAACTCTATCCTCTCCGGCTCATGCAGAGTTTTTTCTGTGTTGCTATTTACATCTTTCAAGTCTTTTGGCTCCAGCTTATTCTCCTTCACTTCAGCTTTAACAGGCTTGACATTTTCTTTAAAAGAGTCATTTTCTTCTTTGGTATGTGTTTCCCCATTGTTTTCCAAAGGTTTTTCTAGCTTTACAATAACTGGCAGTTTAATGATTTCTCTCTCCTCCACTTTTTCTGATTTTATCTTGTTTTCCTCTTCTGGTATAGGAGGCAGTGGGAGGCTTTCCAATTGCTTTGGCTTCTCCTCTTTCAACTCTTCTACCTTCAATTCACTTTCTGTTTTAAAAAAAGCAGAGATATAACAACTATAAGCCAGAGATACTTTCCTTGTTTTCCTAATACCATGTAACTTTTGAAGCAATGGTTCTAACCAGTGTTAGTCTGGCAAATGTTGACTATTAGGAAGAATACGAACAAAAATGTTTCCAATATGTCTTGCTATGAATGTATGATTTTGGAATAACAGAATCATATGATTTAACTATGAGACTAATATTCTCGTTTTGTACCACTTTAACTGTCACTGCTTCCCACAGGAGAGTCCTGGGTTAGGGAAGTGTAGTCTGAGTCAATACTAAAAATTATTCATTATGCCCACTACCTGCCTTCCATCCAATTCTCAGGTTCTCCAGGATGTGGAAATCAATATGGCGAGTCTATAGAATAAAGCTTCAAAGGGCAAAATGACTAGAGAGCCCCGTGATACAGCACTTCTGTCTGTGGCATGTACTTCCCCAGTGGTCACCTGGCTCTTATCTTAATGTCATTTCAGAACCAGATTAAGACTTTCATTCATGCTGCTCCAGCTATTGGTGAATTCACTCCTGTTAGCTTATGATACAGAGAGGACTAGACATCAGGGCTGCAGTCCAGGGCCCCACAGCCTGTGGCAGCGGGTGCAGTAGGATAAAAACCACCTAGAGAGCAGCAGGTGATGCCCATTTTCCAGAACAAATGCCCACTGCAAGAAGAAAAAAGTAGCAAAACCTTGGCCTGCCGTTTCTTCCCTCTTTTTAACCTCTTCATCTTCAATACTCGGGCTCTCTCGTGAGGAGTTATCCTGTTGCTGCTTTTTCAATAGTGCAGGATCGATTTGTGCTTTCAGGAGTTCAAGCGTTTCAGCCAGCTCATTTCGACTTCTGGATGAAAAATAAGAAATGCATTAACCTTATAACAAAGCAATCTTATACAGTATCTGCCCACATTCTTCTTTGCTGGCCTCGGCAGGAAAGAGCAGAGGAACAGAAAGGTAATAGATGGTATCTAGGAAACCTGCAGCCTTTCCCCTGGATGGGATTTCTCCCCATTGCCTCTTTTCCCTAGGAACTTCGTGGGCAACGACCGCTGCTTCAGAGAGCCATCAGTGCTTTAGTACCAGCTGCCATCATACGAACCCCATTCCCTTCTCAGACGTAGCTGCACGTGTACCAGAACCAGCTCATGTTACCTAGGCACACAAACTTAAGCAATGAACAGCATTCATCCACCACCCACTCAAATACAGCCCACCTTTATGGCCACACTTCCAAATACCTTTTCTATCTGTCTATTCCATTTTTATCCCACCCGACAGCCAAAAATGGCTCTCTGGGTGGGCTTTTCTACTTGGTAATCTTTCTGCTTGGCAAGCTTTTTGCTAGGTTCAGATTTTTTTAAAAAAATAGTATTGCAGCATTATATAGTAACAAGCACACACATCTGAAGCATCTCATAAGCATAAGGTATCACAAAATGGCAAGGTCTGCAAGTTCGCAGAGTGTGGACTGAGGACAGGCATGTGAGCACAGACTGTCAATGAATCATGGCTTGTTGCCGAGTCATGATTTGTCACTATGTGTGAATCCTATACTATGGTTTAACCACAAACAAAGCAGAACATAAGTTTTGTTGCTGTGAACTCAGGATTACTTGTGGCTGACAGCCCAGAGTTAAATCCATAGTGGTGGGTTTGCACATATCAACAAACCACAATTCAACCCACACTTGGGATTAATGTCACATGCAAATAAGGACAAGAGCTCAGAAGGTATTCTCTCTGGAAGAACTTTCTTCATGGTAACAATCATCTGGAGAAACATAGGTTAAAAAAGAAAAGACATACCTGACAATGCACTTCCAAGACGTCCCATCCTGATCATCCTGTTCTTCCACATACATCCTAACATTATGCTCTTGGTCCAGCTGGTACCAGTATGTCAGGCCATCTTTGTCTCTGCCAATTGGCTGAAGGCGCATGGCATCCGCATCTTCCTCATTAATGATGTTCTTAAATTTTAGATTGTCATCAAACTGGCATTCACAAAGGTACTATAAAAAGCGGAGGAGGAAAAAGTCACTCAAAACACTGTAAGAAACATCAAATCATTACTCTTCACCAGGGAACCCTTCCACTCATGTGTCAATACGAAACTAGTTTGTAATGGAGGACTTCGCTTGGGTAATTCGCTCCCGCTCCGAGATCGGCAACAGAAGCCCTCCTCCGGGAACCCTCTGTGAAAGATGTTAGGAGACAGAGTACCCGGAGGAGGGCCTTCTCTGTGGTGGCACCCCGACTATGGAATGCGCTCTCCAGAGAGGTCCGCCTGGCGCCGTCATTATATGTTTTTCGGCACCAGGTTAAGACCTTTTTATTTAATCAATATTTTAATAAGTTTTAATATTGAATTGCATTATTGTATTTTATTAATTGCAGCCAGAGTGGGTCGTCAATTTATTTATGCCGTTAGCCGTCCAGAGACTTTAGTAATTGGACAGCATACAAATTTAATTAACTAATTAATTAATGGGAGAGAAGGCTGTGTGGCTCAATGGGGGAGCACACGCTTCATGTGCAGAAGGGCCCCGGTTCATCCATCAGCCTCTCTGGAGAAAAGGAGAAGAGACGGCAACAAGGAACGCACGAGAAGGGCTTGTGCCTGAGACCCCAGAGAGCAAGTGCTGGGCAGAGATGACACTGCTGTGCTAGATGGACCGATGGTCTGACACAGCGCACCACAGCTTACTCATGCCGACGTATCTTTTCAAGCGACACGAGCTGGTACGTGCTTTTGGCTCCTCTCAGCCTTATTTGGAATCGTGTTTTCATTTTCCCTTATCTCCTGATAGAAGGGGCACCTTGAGACCTTAATTCTGTTTTGTATTGGTCTGGAGTAGAATAGTTAGGCAGCTTTTTAAGCAAAGCAAGCTCATGAATCACAAACTTCATTAATAGTTACTGCAAGGATTGCTGACTCAATATACATGAAGGGCTTCCATATAGATGCTCAAGCTTACATACAAAATATTATTCACAGCTTCTCAGGATATTAACCACAATTTAAACGGAATAATATTTTTCTGTAATCTTGCTTCTCCTCTTGAGTTAAAAAGATAGAGGTAAATGTAAAGGAGAGGGTTAAAAGCCTAAAGAATGTCCAATGGTTCCAAAAAAAAAAAATCCACTCTGTACACATGCTCAGAAAGAACATTAAAATACTCTTCCACTCTCCATGCATACGAGGGCAACACAACTTGTATAAAAGAAAGCATCCAGCTTTCAACAGCAATTCTTCTTTAGTCCCCTGAAACATTTGCACGGCACGTGCTTGCTGTCAGCACCCCGAGACTCAGTTCTGAATTCATAAACCCCAGAGAGGGGTTGCCCTGGTTTGTTGTGTTAGCCCCTGCCACCTGGGTTTGGACGTTTGAGGGTGTAACAAATAAGCTGCGGCGATTATGCAAGTGATGGGGAAGAGGGGAGTGTATGACCCCACAGCAGAGTCACAGTGCTCTGAATTATGCTGAGCCAAAGCCACATGCATCTCAGAAAAATTCCAAATGAGTTGAAGAGAAGAATCCCACCTTCAATATTCCCAACTTGCACTCAATGCTCATTTTAAGGTATCCTTTTTTCTCCATTTCCCATGCCCAGGTGCTGTTGAATTCTTGACACATCTAGAAAGCAAAAAGTTTAAACTAATTAGTGAAGTATCTCCTGTCACTGAAACTGTACCCAAACACAGCTGCTCTAAGTTGTAATATCTATCAAAATGGAGGAGGAACAGAAGCTGGGTGGCGAGAAACAGAAATAGATGAATTAGAGGCAGGCTAGGATGGAATGGGGATGATGGGACATAAGGTCAGATATGGAATAACTCCTGTACTGTCCTGAGGTCAGATATGGAATAATTCAAGGAGATTTAAGCCTTTCAGAAAGATCAGTAGAATTACTTAAACATTAAGGACATTCATTTTGTGCCCTCCAGAAATGAGAGGCTTTTTAAAAATCTGGATATATAGTATACATCAGTTATTTAACACCCACCCTGGCACAGATTCACTAACTTTTAAAAATGCATGCTTGTTTAATTTCAAGTGCACCAACGTACAATTTCATCTTTCACTGGGTACGTTTGTCATTTTTATTCATTTAAAATTAAAGAATTAGGCCAGGGTCCAAAGCAAGGGTTTACAAATTCACTCACCATGGTGAGCATCCCTCACTGCTACATGGACAAGCCCCCACCCAACATCTGAGATGGGGGGGTTACCCTCTCTTCACATGGGGAGACCCACATCTATCTGTAAGCTGGGAGAGTTGCTTTCACCAATTTGCACTGGACTTTAAAGGAAGCTCCAAAGTGCCACATGCTGTCAGAGAAAAGACTCCACCCATTTCCTCTTGGGAAAACAACCAAGAACCAAAATTGTGGCTCCCCCACCCCCAGTCATTCCAAAGAACTGCACAACTGGTTGCACATACCTAAGAATGCGTTTGGCTCATGCTTCCAAAGCAACAGCTCTGTGTACTGAATGGCCAAGCCATTTTAAAATGGACACAGGGACCATGCAAACCCATGAACAACCCTTTCAGCTCCTTGAATGAAGGCAGGAATAAACATTTAATAAGACCACTTGTCTGGCAAGAAGGTTTAAGAACCAAGCATTATTTTAGGTTGAAGCACAGAACTGGGTATCCTGTGAGGAAAAAAGCCAGCCAATTCGCATGAGCAGGTGTTAAGTCTGCCTGTAAAATGAAAACTGATGCAAGACTCTCCTACTGATGGACATCATGTGTCATCCAGTAGTAGAATTTCACACAATGAATTTCAGACAGTATTTCCAAACAGCACACCGAGAGCCAGTGTGGGGTACTCGGACTGGGGACCTGGGAGATCCAAGTTCGAGTGCCCACTTGGCTATGAAGCTCACTGGGTGACTATGGGCCAGTCACGCACTCTTGCCCTAGTCTACCTCACAGGGTTGTTGTTGCTGTGAGGATAAAATGGAGCTATGTAAGCACCCTTAGGTTCCTCACAAGAGGGAAATAAGGTGGTGTAGAAATGCAATGTAATAATTATAGTAATAATACCTTGATCAAGTATTTTTCCCATCGGTCTGCTGTGACAGACTTTCCGATCTTTCTCATCAATTTCAGATGAAGCTCTACCAGCTCTCTCGGAACTAGAAGCAAGGGAGGAATTTAAAAATAAATTGTTTGAAACGATCAGCTAAATATAAATTCAACAAGAGTGAAATTTAAACTGTTAAGAAATCCAAGGAGGGCCAAAACGCTAGCGTAAAGTGGGCAAGGACACAAGCATACCAACACAAAGAGAAAACAGTAGGTTCAAGAGTCTTCCAGAGTCTTGGCAACACCTGAAGCCTCACCTTTCACAGAATGGCATCATTCAAAGACCATATTAGAACAAGATGCAGGAGAAGGCAGAGAACAGTTCAATAATGGGTCATCAGCCAGTTTCCTAAGGATTGCCTTGTAACCTATAGATGTAAAGGAAAAACTGGAAATGTTCAGGAAAACAACTTTTTCTCATTGTTTTCTGAAGCCTTTTGCTTGTTAATTTTTTTCCAAAAAATTGAAAAAGGTTAGGATTAAGAATATTTTCTTTCAGACTAGTCCAACAAATGTTTTGGACTAGATGTTCATATATCTTCTTCCTCAAAAGGTTTTCTAAAAACTATGTAATGTATGTTTATATAGAGCAATGTCGAGTATCAGATCATTACAACTCTTGTGCACTGAGGACTAAAATGTCCTAGGTTGCAAACTGAGGTTGTTTGTATTAGATCCAATGTGGCATTGTGGTTAGTTTTGGACTGGGGACCAGGGAAATGTGGGTTCTAGTTGGCACTCAGCAATGAGTCTTCAGCAATTCTGTGATGAAGACTGAACTGTTATGTAGCGTCTCAGGGAACCATCCATGTCACAGCTTTTGTGATCAGTTCTATTGGAAAGATTGAAGAGACAAGTGAAAAAGCAAGCAGAGAAGCTAAAAGGGGTCAAAGTAACCCCATCAAATGATGCTTATATTTCTTAGTTGATTGTTATGTCCACCAGATACTAAACCCAGAAGCTGCTATCCATTTCTTGTGAGAAAAGCGCACAGTGGGTAAGAAAACAGCATTTTGTCTATTTTCATATTCAACAAAAGACTAATTTTCTTTAACATCACTGCAAAGCATTAGAGGTCAAGAGAACATCACAGGTTTAAAAACGCCATTTTAAAGTTGATTTTTGTTTTTAAAAAATCTTATTTTCAAGTAATATAGACACAGAAAAGCTGTGATTTGTCTTGTTTTTCATCAAAGTTATAATCTGCACAAAACTCCAACAGTGCTTTTAGGGCACTGTGACTTGACATGCCTTCTTTTGATGACGGCACTGCATTTTATCTCACCTTTCTTCCTTTAGCAAGGAATCCAGGGCAGCTTACGAATTTTCTTCCACTCCCTTCTGTCCCCGCAACCACCACCCTGTGAGGTGAGAGGCCGTGACTGGCCCAAAGTCACCCAGTTAGCAGGATGGCTGAGCGGGGACTTGAACCCGGATCGCCTGAGTCCCAGTCCCGCGCTCTTAACCACGGCACCGCAGAGCCCTTAAGCCTCACCGTCTTAAGTGGCTGCATCACACAGACTTAAGAACAGTGACCACCACCCCCAAAGTGTCAAACCTCTCAGGACCTTCCCCCAGGATCAGGCTCCTTGCCACTGCCACCCACTCCTCTCAAGGGGGCCAAGCAGAGCGCAGGTCGGCTCCCTGTGTCCAGTCCTGTGGCTGCTCAGTCACAGAGGCGCTACTCGGCTGCCCCATCTAGTGCCTCTGGGGACTGGGAGGGCTGTGACGGGGCCACCAGGGCCAAGATGGTCTATTCGAGAATTGGGATGAGGACTGCCAGTCGCCTCCTGGGAGGACAGGGGGCAAGCAACGTGCACCATACAATGCACCAACTGTAGGGAAGTAGGGTAGTTTCTAAGCCAGGCTTCAGAAATTCGGCTCAGCGTGCCATGCAAACCCAACCAGTTGTTGAGAAACCAGCAACATCTTTACAGGTTCTCAGATGACATATAACAACTTGCAACTTTTCCACCAGGGTGTCACTAGCACAAGGATTAGCTGAGAAAATCCCAGCTCTGGCTGGTACACTGAAAACAGACCAGCAGCAAATACCTCCAGAATCCGTTGCCCACAGCAGCACTTTAGCTTCCAGAAAGCTCTGACACTCGCAAGTTTTGTGCCAAAGAATGGAAAGTCACCAATCCCCATTTCTCCAAAGTGTAATGATGCAGCCGCCTCAGACTCAATTCCAAGCTGTATTGCTCTCCTAATAAACTATGAGTCACCTGCCTCTAAATGTACCTCAAAAAGCATGATCCAGCACTCATGTCGACTAGGAGCTAGAACACAAAAGCATCAGATGGCAGAACTGGGAAGAACCCACACCTAAATTCTAAACTAGGACTCTTCAATTAAAGAGGCCAGAAGGAGAAATGTTTTGAGATGGCAGAGCCAGATGCAAACTTGGAAAAATCATAGATGCCTTGCCTGAACCTCTGAAAAGCTAGAAAAGGGATAAACCATGAATGAATTTCAATCTCTTCCCCAACTCAAGGAGCAGTTGTCAAAGTTAGTTTTTTTTTTAAATGGTGAATTCTAGGAACATGAATTGCTTTCCAGTCCTGTCTAAAGCACCTTCTATTCATCTTTAAAAAAAAAAATACAGAAGTAGTGGAAAGCATTCTGTGAGAAAACTTTCTCAGAATGTTTGAGTCTAGCAATGTGATAGCTAACCAAACTGCTCAGCTCCTTTTAAACACAAACTGGAATGCTTTGTTTTAAAGCTCTCTTTGCATGCTGGAACTCCTGCTCCCCCAGCTGGCCAACACATAGGTTTACACACAGTCTCATGAAAGCAGAGCAGCAGAAACCAAAACCCTTTGCTTGGGAAGTTAACGGCAAAGCAGTCTGAAACTGCTAGTCAAAATGCTTTCTTTGCTGGTGCTTCAGTAAGCAAGTGGCATAACCAATCTTGCACTTTCTTGTCACAGGTAGAAAACTGACAGCCACAGAACTGAGAGGGGGGGAAGCAGGGAAGAGGAAAGAGAATTATTTAGGAACACTGGTCAAAAGCTGGCTGCAGCACATCTCAGAAAGAGTGAGGAATTAACATGTGATTTCAGGGCAGGAGAGAAAGGACTGGGTTCACTCTGCCCTAGGTGAGAGGAGGATTAGAATGAATTGAAAGACCAACTACGAGAAGGGAGAGAGCCTTGAAGTGCCTGGCACCAACTACAAAGGGGGAAGGAACAAGGAGTGAGAGGCTGAAGTCGAGGTGGGAGAAGCAGCAACAGCATCAAAGGCATCCTTACAGCTGGGTCACCTATTACAAGTTTTCTTTGCCTAACTGCTTTCACGCCTGCAGACTGTTAAAGTCAATCAACATTCCATTTATTAAAACATACAAGTTAATCTATAAAGCACAGCACAAAAATAACTTTAAAAAGTATTTAAACCTCTTGCACTTCATTGTTGTTGTTGTTGTTGTTAGTCCCAAAGTCGAAGTCGCATCTCGACCCCATGGACAACATTCCTCCAGGCACTTGCACTTCTAGTGTTATGCTCCCATCTTTGATAATGGGGAAAAGAGGCCTGTAGCGGCAGGTATAACCTAGCCCAGATCTGAGCAGAATGCAGATTTTCAGATGTTTGAAGACTTCAATTCCCTGAAGCTGCTGTCAACAGGGCCCTGTCCAAATGCTGGGATTTGAAACCCAAAACATTTGGAGATTTACTGTCTGCTCGTGTCTGAACAGCTTCCCATGTCTTGGCCTGTTGTGAAAACCCAGGTGACAGGGGTTGTTTGAGAATCAGACAACCCTCAAATAACACTAAAATAGATGATGGGTCATTTGAGGGTTGTCTAACCCTCAAAGAAGCTTTGCTGTCTGGGTTCACACAACAAACTGGGCGCCTAGGGGCACCATGCAAAACTGGTAACCATGGGTGCCCAGCACAATGCAACAGCTCCTGTGGGTAAATTAAGCCATGGTCAGCTAAGCTGTTGTATCATGTAAGCAGGGCCCATGGCTGAGACAGGAACGCTCCAGGACGAAGAGCAACATTCAGTGTCCTCCAGATACCTTGGACAATCGCTCTAAATCATAGGCGTGTTGGCTAGAAGTGACACACCAAGACTTGGACAAGCAATTCAAGTTTTATAAAACTACTGCTGTAACAGTGAAGGAGTGCAACCCATTGCTTGCTGGTTTATCCAAATAAAACACGTATTGCATTGCACCTCCCAGCTGCCCGCAGAAATACGAACATCCACACAATGCAGTACAAACATCCAAGCCCAAGCTCAGAAGGTTGCAAAGATATAGTTATTCCTTTGCACGTAAAGAAACAGCAAATGAGAAGAATAAGTAGCGCTGGCTGAGGAATGCTGGCACTTGTAGGACTTCTTTCTGTTTAAACATGCACAGGATTGTGCCTTTAAGGAATTACTGAGAGCAAATGGAACTGCCAGATAAGACAAAAAAAAATACCACTGAAAGAACCACCAACATATCCAGGGTTCAGGAGGTAAGAACAATGGATTTTTCAGTGCTGAGAGGACCCTGCCTGCTGGGTTGTGAAAATCTAGTTTTTCAATGACCAGCCACTTCCGTATGTTCTTGACCGATTCTTTTCCTAAAGCTGTGCAGCAATAATTGTAAGTGCACATCAGGAACTACAGCTGACTGTATGGATCCACTGCGGGGGGGGGGGGGGACACATGGTGCTACTCCTGTTCCCAGCCCGATTAGTTGAGCCAGGAGAAGGGAGAGCAGGCACTGTCCGGAAGGGCATAGCCACTCAAGGCTGACGTTAGCAGAGCAGAAGTTCCCAGAAGAAAAGCCCTGTGTTTAGCCGGGAGGAGGAGGTAATCCTGTAAATATCATACTACAGCAGGTTTTCATGTTCCACTTACACCAAAGAGGAGCTCCACCAAAGGCTCCTCTGGCCCAGCATCTTCTACTCCAGTGTCCCCTGCCACCGGCATTCAGAGGTAATTTCTTCTGAAAACTGGACAGTGCACAGGGCCATCATGTAGCTGCTGACAGTCTTAGCCTCTAGAAAATTGCCCAACCTGCTCTTAAAAATTTTTGTGCTAGTGACCATCACTGCATCTTGTGGCAGCAAATTCTATAGACTAACTATACACTGGGCGAAAACAAAACAAGAAGTCCTTTGGCCACCCTAAATCTCTGGTGAATCTCACTGGGTGACTCAAGTTCTAGTATTATCAGACGGAGAAAGCTTCCTTATTCTTTTTCTCCACACCATGCATAATTTTATAAGCCTCCTCCTCTACTGTTTCCTAAACGTAAACCGTTTTTCGCAGAGGAGAGCTGTTCTACATTATTTGCTTGCCTTTTCCTGCACCTTATCTAGTGCTATAGCATTTCACAATGTGTTAACTGACTCCACCACACTGGTCCTTCAATCCTGCCAGTGTCCCTGAAGAGAAGGAAGAGCAGGGCAGCGGACACCTACAATACTTAGATCCCAGTTCTAGTTGCAGGGCAGCTAGGGTCCAAGGATTAGGGTATGAGCAGTTTCTTTTCTTCCATCAACTGGAAGGGCTGCAGTGACCCAGAAAGCATGACTAGGATAACCTCTCAGTGGTGATAATGCATATTAACTGAACCAGAGGAAAATTTTTCACTTTGAAAATTAAAAGCACTTTGCGGGTATCTAAGACTGCTCAGGGTCGCCCAATTTATTTCATTGTGATGGTTTTATCTGAACTAAGGTCTCCAATTTGGACATTTATCCAGCAGATCTCAGACAGGATAAATGTCTGTCTATTTATCCCCCTGTCTAAGGCTCAGGAAAGCCAGTCTCTTCCTTCACTAGACACTTTCACCTCCTTTCCACAGGAAAAGGCAAATGTAGAGCAGCAATTAGAGTGTGGATGATCGGCGTTCTCATCACCACTCAGCCATGAAGCCAACTGGGTGCCTTTCATCCAGTCACTGACTTTCAGCCAAATCTACCACACAAGGTTGTTGTGAGAGGAAGAGGACAAAGTAAACTGTCTTGGGTTCTTTGCATGAAAATAGGAACAGAAAGCTACAGAAAAAATAATGCCTGTTTAGACCATTAGCGTGCTCCCACTCAGGTGATTCTGCCAAAGTTTGCCTTCAGAAATGCTACACCTTCAAGCACTTCTTCAGAACAGGTTATTATGATATTCATGATAAACACATTAAAGGTTAGGCAGATTGTAAGCAAGGACCATTAATCCTCTTGCAAACAGTGATCTCATTATTTCTTTATGCCAGCTCCTCTTGTTCTGCGCATCGGCAAAACAAATGCTGCAAATCACATAGGTGCAAAATTACTTGTATAAAGCAGTGGGTGATTACTCATGGCATGTTTCAGATTAGCCATGCTCTGAAGGGGGAGGGGCATATACATCTCAAAGTTTAGTAGGATTATGTATCTGCAAATGGTAGGTAATAAAGAACTCCTGACATCTGGTTTTGTACTCTTGACATCTGGTGTGCTGTGAACTGGGCC